GTCTACTGGCCACACCTGAACCAAGAATTGAAAGACCACATCTCACATTGCATCACCTGTGACACATTCAATTTCAAGCAGTCGAAAGAACCTCTCATCCCGCATGAAATACCAAAGAGAGCATGGGCAAAAATCGGTTGTGATATCTTTGAATTTGAAAAGAAATCGTATTTAGTAACAGTGGACTACTACTCGAACTTCTTCGAAGTTGACCGCCTTGAAAAATTGACATCACTGGCAGTCATAAAGAAACTAAAGCCCCATTTCGCCAGGTTCGGTATTCCAAATACTCTCGTGACAGACAACGGCCCACAATTCATCAGTGATGACTTTCGAGACTTCTCTATGAAGTACCAATTTGAGCATATAACGACCAGTCCCTATCACCACCAATCCAACGGCAAAGCCGAATCTGCCGTCAAGCAAGCCAACCGAATAATTCGAACATGCAAATCATCAAACGATGACATTTACCTTGCCCTTCTTGCCCACCGAAACACCCCCAAACAACTCATGAAACAAGCCCCGCACAACGACTGTTTAACCGCCGTACAAAGACTCCCTTGCCCGTCTCGGAGAAGTTGCTCCAACCGAAGATAAATTCGCAAGCAAACAAACGCATTCAACAAAGACAACAGCTCCAAAAGAAATACCACGATCGTGGCGCAAAAGAGCTCAGCCCGTTGCGGAAAGGAGAAGTGGTGAGACTACAGCCAACCCGAATCGGCGAAAGAAATGGAAGAGAGGGATAGTCGTACGCAAAGCCGGGATAAGATCATATGAAGTCCAATGCAAAGGGTATACCTATACTAGAAACAGAAAATTCATCCGACGATCAAGGTTACCTGCAGAATTCGGTAGTGACAACGCAGATGAAGAGATGTCAGACATGTCCGAAGCGGAAGAGAACGTTTCTGTACCTACTGACAATGATCTGCCCCAAGAAAACCCTCAACCAGCACACTTAGAACGCAATGAAACAAGTAGTGAAACAAGTTCTACAAGCAAAACCCGTAGTGGACGGTTAGTTAAAAACCTGACAGGCTAGGTATAGACACATAAGGGAACGCGGTATATATACGGTATATTTATAAAGAAAAAAACTTTCAGAGAAGAGGAGATGTTGGACATTTACTGTTGACATTAATATTTTAGTTATATTTGCTCGGACAGGGAAAACTGGGAACGAAGGAAAAGGGCGCGAAAATAGGTGTAGGACACGGGATTTTGGAGATAGAGTATATACATGTTATGAGTTTATATTATGCGAAGTATAATATAAGAAATAAAACTATCAAAAGTTAATGAAAGTGAGAAGCAAATAACATAGCGCATGAAAGACTCTGCGGAACAGAGAGGAGTTCAGTGAACTACATTGAAATTTCTTGTTGCGACCACTGACCAAATAATAAGTTCATTTTAAAATAGCTCGGATTACATAAACCAACTGACAACTTGTTGAAAACTGACAAACTTTGTTTCTATTTGTGGGCCGTTCCTTGCGCGTGGGTGGTCTGTGACCTCTCATGTTGGCGTGTGAAGAAAACCTAAATTCTTTGACTTTGTTTTTTTTCTGATCACACTGGGATCACAGGTTTCGAATTGATAACGTCATATGATATGCGGTACTTGTGCTATTTTGTCTAGAACTTTAACTGTGGTATTCGATATTCCAGAAACAAAGTCTTGTAAAGAGGATACGGTATTCTAAACAAGTACCAGACCGTCGTATTAGAGAGGTTCAGATTTGACTTCCACCACCGCTCACAGACTTAATACGCATTTGATTGGTTAATTAGTACAAATCTTTGCCAAAAACTATGGTAAATAAACTGTAATTTTACATAATTTGAAAGACCTAGTGCCCCCCGTTCAATGTTCGCCCCACAAAAAAAAACAATGTATGTTCGTCAAACGCTAACATTGAAACAGCTGGGGAGAGATTGGAGTAAATGTGTAAACAATTGTAAACTACATCCGAACGCATGTAAAAACTAGATCCCAATTTTTATTGTCAAAGATTGCAGATTAAATGCATCTGATTGGTTAATGGTAAGGTAGCGGTAGTGGAAGTCAACATTTGAACTTCGCTATTGGCGTACCTCCCGTACGTAGCACCCGAGAAGCAACGAAACGATAGCTACCGTACTTTTGGGCCATTGTATAGTTATCACTATGTGTGTTGACAACATGTTGGTACTCGAAATTGAAAGTCTGAAAGCCAAAGTTAAAATGTACAAAACAATGGTTTGTTTCTTTTTAGGTTATAAATGCATCACAGACGATTGACGATCTTCATATGGACATAAAAGAAATAGTAGAAAACACAATCAATACTGCAAGAAATAGCAAACTTCAGATGCTGTGGCCTTTGTCAGGTCCGAATCAAACCGAGTCTTAAGACACCATATTTATATATTTTAATGATGTATTTTAACTTGGGGAACGAGGATTAAAGTTATTATAATAATATATCGTACATGCAATGAATTCACGTAACAAATCCTGGAGTGCATGCCTGATCTATGATTTTCAACATTTTTACATGTTCGATGAAACATTTAGTATAGACTAACAATTGCAAAACTTCTATTATATTCAGGTGTCGAGTTACTGAGATTTTAACATTGTCATTGTAGCTAAAACAATTTATTAATACCTGCATTCGAACTAATATATAATTTGCGGCTTTTTGTGTAATATAAATAGTTAATCAATTATTTCACTTAAAGTTTACTTTTCAATTAATTATTATTTACGAGTGGATTTTCCTGTTTTTTCTATTTTGAAGTTCATGGATACGAAAACATTACAATGAGTTAAGCACGATGGCGTAAGCATCACAACTTATACACCAAAAGTTTGCATGAATGGGTAGCACAACACGTGATCTGATACTCCCCAGTCTTCCCAGCGTTCAAACCCGGGGGGAGAAGGAAGCAATTAAGGGGGCATTGGCAAAATATATATCCTACATCTAATTTAGCAACCAACCCCTCCCCCTTTCTCTCGAATTTCAGGGCCGTAGCCACGATGATAACATTGGTACAACCAATGAGAGTAGTGAAAGTGAAAGTCTATTTCTTGCATTCTGAGACCACTCTGGTCCCCAAATAATATATATTAACAATCACGTCGCCTGCATAAATGTGATTAGACCGGTAATTTCCGTATTTTTACGCGATGGCCCGCTGTGGAGTAACCTCAAAAATGTCCGAATTCAAAAGACACTGGGAACGGGTAGAGTATTGTTGTACTTGGTGTAATCCAGTGCTGCAAGATAACCCTATAGAAAAACCGTGGTAAGAGATGCCTGGACAAAATGGTGTTTTGTAACAGAACAGCACTCGTCTGCTGCTCTCATCGAGATCAGGTTGTCAATTGTTAAATCAGGGATGGATTTACTGGGGGGCGTACACCCCCTAGGCCCTAGTCCTGGCCAGGGGGAGGTGCTATTTTTCATAATAAAGCAAAATATTAGAGACAAAATGGCATACAGTAATTTGAGTAATAACATGATAATAAGCGAACTGCGAACAACAATTACAATTCAAATACTGTAGTCAAGCAAGACTTTGCAGTAGTTGATGGGCAGGCGGTGCACCATTCTCGTTCCCAGAGCAGGCCTCGAATTTCCCTGAAATCAAACAACGGCGATGGCGTTAAAAATTGCCGTAGAACGTAACAGCTGTCTACGGCAATTTTGGCAGTCTCCATGGCATTTTTCAAATTACTGTAATAAAAATTTAATTTTATTGTTACTTTGGATTGTTGACAAGCTAGAAACATGTCTACGTATTTCTTTAGTGTTTTTTTTCGAAGAAAACTGAGACTAAAATAGTGATTTACGCATGATTTGATCAACATCTGAATTCAAGTATCAAAGTAGTAATGTACAGTGAATAGTATAAAAATTGCACTATACGGCAAAAAATTGCCGTCGTTCCCGCAATGATCCACGGCATTTTGTTCTCCCTCTACCGCGATTGCCGCGATAAAATTCGAGCCCTGTCCCAGAGCCATTTTCACTCGGTCACTCGTTGAAAATTAGGCTCTGGGTTAGACGACTAAAGGGGAGAGACCTGATTGGCTTTTCAGAGAACAGCTATTTCGCAGAAGTTGAGCAGTTTTCGCTAGGCAAAAATTATCCTATCAAAATAAGTCGACACAAATACTTCCTTTCATCGTAATACTTCTCTGTGAAAATTGTTACAGGTGCTGAAGCGTCCCAATTCAAGAGTATGCAGCTTTAGAAACTGCTGCAAGTATTGGTGCAACAAATGTCACAGTTTCGTATGGCCCTACAAATAAGAAACAACTTGAACATTTCAAATATTAACATGAACTTTTCAAACAACATGAACTTTTCTATTCAATATAGCATTGGAAAACAGTACAAACTAAGGAAAACACTCAAAACAGAATACTATAATCACGTTAGTACATAGTCGTTACTAAACGAAGTAAATGTCGATCATCTAAAACAGTATATATCTTGGAAATTATAAAAGAATTTCACTATAATTCAATTACCACATGCTTTTGCAATGGCTAAAGCTACATATTAGGGTAAAAACCAACATTCGTCCATGCAGGGAATAAAATTTATTTGTAACCCCCCTCTCCCCTACTGTCGTTAAATGATATAATTCCCCTGTTGGGCATCTGAAAGCTGCCCAACCCCTTCCCCCTCCAATCTTGTCAACCCCTACCTTTCCAGTACAATACTATTTCCATGGTTTTGTTGGGAAAAGGCCCATTTACAGAACAATTTGAGGAAGGGCGTCTCGTATGCCCCAGTTTCTACTACAGTTGAACTACGTTTCGTGCGTGTACATACTTTTCTGGCCACTTCCATTTACTTATGGGTTTACCACTAACGGATTATCCGATTCTTATCATACAGTATGTTAAGAAGATTACCTCCCGTGATCACTCGTGACTGCCCTACATTTTCACCCTTCGTAAACGAGTGAATCAACAGTGTGATATCAATAAGTGTTGGTTGGAACCACTTGATACTTTCTCGCCACAATAATGTGTTATTGGTCTAAAGCTAGTTCCACTTCAAGCGTAGCGTACCGAAACGTATCAAAAACGTTCTTAAATTTCAAAATTTCGTGGATGTTGATTGGTTAGTACTTCCGTAGTACGCCAAAAAGTTGACTTGCGACGAACTTTTCATTTTGATACGCGAATACACCTGGAAGTACGTGGATATATAAACCTCTTTTCAATCTGCGCATGCTCACCAGTACGTTTCGGTACGATACGGGCGAAGTGGAAGTCCCCTCCAGCTAACGTAGTTGCTTTTGCAACATTGGATAACTCATCACGGTTACTAGTTAGTTTTCCAGCTTACTAAGCTTAAACTATAGAACAAAGCTATAAGCATTGGAATTATGTGATGAGTTATTTACATTTACTTTTATATAAGATATACATTTATACAGTTACCTTTATTCTTTGCTGTCGTAGACTGGAAGAATTGTGAGTTGCCATGATTGTCATTGTCAGTTTATACCAAAAAGGATTTCCAAAGTTGTGAAATATAAACAGGCGTTAGCTAATTTGGATGCCTTGGATTGGACAGAACCTGTGAAAAGTTCGGTCAAAAAATTGCTGGAGGCGCAGTAGTTCTTAAACAGAACATCTCCGTGACGCAAGTCGACAAAGAAGTATTAAAGAAGAGATTTCCTTAGCAGTCATTACACCGAAGGTTATATATATCTTAATTCTTTAAAATGTAATAGCTAATTTGAGAATATAGGTTTAAATCTCGTCTATATGTGCCATGCATGTATATGGTTATGTCTTATGAGACTATGATCACGTGAATGTAGCAGCTCTTTGAAAATTTCACCCTCACTGCCAAATATTTAAAGAAGATTTATCTGTTGCTATAGACATTCCAGCAATTAGTTGATACTTTCCTGCGGATGCAATAATGTTCCTATACTTAGCACATTCGTACAGGATTATTAGACCACAATTTGAGACTCATCGACATCGTGAGAAACTTCTCTTATTAACTCATTAAGCCCTGATTCCGCGGACGGCGAAATTCTTCGCGAGAAATTTTGTACATGAGTGATTCTACTCACTGGTGAAGCGAAAGTTTTTCTCGCAAAGTCTAATTGATCTTTATGCACCTAATTCATTTCGTGCGAAATTTCTCGCATTTCGCCAAAGAAAGTGTTCGTGGAATGTTTGAGCACAGATGTTACGCCATAAATGCTAAACTATACAAAAACAGTGGAGGACTGGATGGCATGGGACAGTGGGATTTTCCAAAAAGTGTAAGGCGATGAAACATTCTGATCATTGGTCAGTGCGTGGGTGACACTATAAGTGCTATCATGCCATTTGCCTGGCCCTTGAACAACACTGAAAACGTCACGAGGCGTAAAGACTGAAGCTTCGTATACTTAACTAGAACAACGTACGTAGATAGTTTCGTTTTGGCTCACTTCCCTTTCATTTTCAAACTGGTCCCCCTGCATGTGATTTTCTTGTGCAAGTTTAGACATCACAAGATAGCAGGGTTCCAAGCAATCCCACGAGACTTGGAGGTCAAATAATTAGATTCTAATGAGATTATTTTGTTTAAAAGCCGTTGATGTCCACTAAACTGGAGCCTGACGAAAGCCACACTACGATCGTTATGTAGTATAATTCAATACCAATTTTCTAAATAAGTAAATAACTGCAAAATTCCCAGTCCTTTGGGGACCCCTTAGGGTTAAAATTAGGCTGATTACCAAGAGTTTTTGAAGATAATGGTACTTGGAACATTGTCATTGCAAAGCACCTGACACTAGTAGTGACTGAGGGCAAGTACCTCATTTGCATGCTTAAATAACGTTACCCAACACATTGTATTATCATGCATGGAGCTAATAAAGGACTGCAAAGCATTTTAGTTACGTGCAGCGCCGCCCTCTTTATCAGCATCGTCAAATTAAGTATACCCGCTATAGTTTAGCCTGTAGATACGCAACTCTGGTTTTAATCTTGAGAGAAAGCCCACTCGTATCCGTTGCTTATAATATAAGTCAGAATAAGTAATGATTGGAAATTAAATGGTACTAGTATAATGGTTTCATTTTTGTTTGTGTACTATTCAATATTATTGTTATCATTTGTCGGGTTCCCTCCATACCTAAATTTAATGATATCCAATCTGTGATAACCAATCTGTACACTGATAAAGTGAAAATGTGCACTGATAACATTTGTTGTGATAAATCTATATTTTATAGAACCATTATTTTTGCCTTATTGTGTATGTTTCATAATGTGAATGAACATTCGAATGCATGATTGTACTTTCAGTCAATCTAAGTCTTCAGTAAGAGCGTCGTACTGGGGGGTACCAATAATCCCCGGACCCGCCAATATATTTTTTTAGTAAATATAGAAAATGACCTTCAGAACATAACCTAATTTTCTCAAATGAATTTCAGCAGTATGCATGCACTACTAAATAGTTTCATTTTTGTCGGCACAATTGAATGCTTTTAAAATAATTCCTTTTTGTTATGAGGTTCATTCAGTTAATTGATCTATCAGTTCCAGTATTTTCTTTTCGTTAATGAACTAAATGTGTTGCTGAAATGCCATTAAATATAATTATGAACATTTTAGTGAAACTATGGTGCTAAGCAGTGGAACTGCTATGCACTATCGTGTATCAAATGGTGGTGGTTAGTTCACTGATTTCAATATACTGTATAGTGCATGGTGCAGTAGTCTTTTATTTAGTGTAAATAAATAAAGCGGCGAGACGCGAGTTTAGTATGCTTGCTCTTTTCTGAAGCCACGGCTTACTTTCATCATGATGATGTGATAAATGAGATTCAGAAAGTAAAACTATAGCATTCATGCAGTATTGTACATGTAATGGACTAATGGTAGATTGAGGCGAAGACCGACATTGTCATGATTGATATCAAACATGTTGCCGTAGAGTAGTTCTACATCTGGAAGACTGAAAATCAGCGATAATCAACATTTTCGGCAAAACACGCTTAGACCTGAGTAAACTTTGAACTTGTGGAGTTAATAGATTAAAACAAATCAGCAAAGGAAGATCACTAAAGCATGTCAAAATATTTATTCAAGCTCTTCCTGAAATATTACCACAATCACTAGGTCTAGGATCAGTTGAACGGTAAGTGCTTATTTAGGATTTTCTTAATCTTGTCTTGATATATAGGTTTTGGTTTCACTAAGGACTATCGAGCAGCTGGTAGTCCGCAAAGACAAGTCTATCATGCACAGATGAGAGAAATGAAAAATAATGAATAACGTTCATTCTATACGTGGTAGTCTTGATTCTGGTGCTTCATGTAAGCTTGATGGTAAATAATTAGACTTTTACACCGTTCAGTGCAAACAATTCGGAAGTTGACTACAATCTGCTGCCACGCCGTGTAACGTGTTCTTATTCAGCAATATTGTATATTACAGAGTTTCTAAAACTTATCACGGCTTTTCGAGCAAGATAGGAGCACTGTCTATAAGAACAACATTTTATAGAACGATATATCGTAATAGCCAAATGGCCATGCCACAAATACTATTTGAAATACCTATTTGGTAAATAGGTGTTTCAAATTATACTACTATCTATATATACTCGTGAGTTTCCTTTTACTATAGTCACCAAATTATTAAAAAACCTATCTGACAATCCTTCTACAGTCTAGCTACAGTCATGAGAAGCCGCGGAAACATTTCGAAAGTGGAGGGGCATTGCCATTGACCATGATCAAAAATGCAAAATCAAACGTCGATTTTATGCCGTTCACGTTCTCTATAACTTCGGAAATGGCCTTTATACAGAGTCTTTACTACAACAAAAAGGGTACTTTCTTTCCAGCAAAAGAGGGCGTTCATTCAATAAATACTTTTTTCGTTCTTTAAATGGGGCATTTAGCCCAAAAGAAGGGCACTTTTTTCACTTTTAAAAAAGTGGGGGGGGGGGCACATGCCCCCATTGCCCCCCAGTTTCGCGGCCCCTGGCTACAGTCTAAAGATATAGCCTATATATTGATGAATTACGGTGACAATGTACAGATATGGTAGCAAAGAATCAGTTAGAATGGTATCTTAATTGTTTCATAACGTAACGGCCAAATACCCAGTACTGGCAGTAGTGAAATCACGAACCAAATCCGTGTTTCCAATTAGTTATCTGACCGCATCCGTGCTAGTGATTTTGATGAATACCGCGCAATAAAAACGTTAATAATTTGAATGATAATTGCATTAGTACTGAAGAAGAAAAACAACACATCAAAATCCTGTTTCAATTACAAAATCATGCCGAACGATTCTTAGTTGACGGCATTGATGATTGTTCTATTGCCGTCAGTTCATAGATTTTTCAGCGATGTCAGTTTATTCTTCTTCAGGTTGACGACTGTAAACCCATGTGACCTTTAATAGACATACTTGCCGAAAATGTTTGTGGAAAATAGATTTAGTGAGTTAAAACCGTGGTTTTTATTAATAATAATGTGTATTATACTAAATTGAACCATGACACTATATGACAGTGGTTGAAATATACGACGATCAACGACGATCTGGATATTTTAGCAAATAGCAAGCAGTGGCCTAGTCTGTGCAGTCTCAACATAGGCTATATAGCAGTGACCTGCAGAGGTAGTCTGCGCCGCAAACAGTACACTCTAAAAACACTCTGGTTAAATTCAACCAGGAATTGGGTTAATAATCCACCCAACACATTCTGGTTAAATTTAACCCATTTCCTGGTTAAAAATTATCAATTCAACAAAAATTTGGTACACTTTTTTGGACTTTTAACCAGGAAAATGGTTAATTTTTTTTAACCAGACTTGTGTAGGTGGATTTTTAACCCCGTACTGGTTGAATTAACCCAAATTTAACCAGAGTGTTTTTAGAGTGTATCACATCCTAAAAACAGGCATTTTTCTTATAACGAAACATTTTACTGCCACGCGATCTGGCAAGTATATTTAGTCCATATATGTAGCCTAACATCATACTATAAACTTGCATGATTACTTTCCCATTTAACGAAACTTCTCGTCGCCTAAGTGATTCTTGTTTTTGAAATTTAAAACTATAAATAATAAGCAGTGTTTAAGTTTTCTCGAGTTGTTACAGAATGCCTCTCCTTCCTTCTTGCCGTCGTAATGTCTGAATGCAGAAGACTTGACTTTCTGAATTCTGACCTTTATCAAGTGAATTATTCGACATGTTACGACGAAACCTGGATCTTGTTTAACCCTCTCCTGCTGTGGGTCAAGTTTTACACAGTCTAATCCTTGCCTACATTGTCCGCACTTCTTATATATAGCTCAATATTTCCGTTGCTGAAAATAGCTGAGAACCTCGTTGAGAACTAGCAAACCTGAACACACACGGTCAATATGTAAATATATAACATGACGCAACATGGGGAATGCTTCATAATTGCGACAAATATTGCGAGACAAGTCAAGTACTTTAACTAGACATTCATCGTATCTGTTTCATTTATCATATGACTGGACACGATTTATATTTGCACCAAGCCATCTGCCGGCACTTTTTGTGCATGTATCCTGATGATGATAACGAAGCCGAGTCGCCGAGAAGGTTCGCTGATTCACTCAAAAGTCAAAACGTCAAAGACAAAGTATTTTTATCTTTTCCTATCAACATCTAATCTACGGAGTACACCGATTACTTCTATAAATGCTTTTATTTTTGCCTGCTTTCAGTGCTTTGCTTACCACTAAGGACTCTGCAGCTATTCAGAACATTTTAAGCTTGCATGCAAGTTCAAACGCCAGTTAAAAGAAACTCATAAGTCATAAGTCTCGTAGTAGTTCAAGAAGATTATTATTACTTCTTGAACAACCTTTCTTTTATAATTATACTAATATACTGTTACGTATGTCTGTAATCTATCACTGGAGTGTAGTTTTTCTGAATCGTGCACTGCGATTTCAATACGTCAAAATCATCCCGCCTCACATCTCGTCCCGACAAAGCGGGATCATGTAAACAGCCCCTTAAATCATTATTAATAAAGGGACGATAACGATAAAACACGTGCCAGTACTTTGTCTTTGAAAAAACTAAGTTAAAAATCTACGGTACTTTATATATGTACTGGAGTGCAGTATCCACATTATGCGCTGAAATAACTCCTTATACTAAGAAACTATTGCGTCAGAATAAAGTGCGAAAATGCGTGTCAGTTAAACTTTTTAAACTTGTGCGAATATTTAATATACAGCGGGACAGACGGACGGAATACACAAAACCGAAAGATAGTTCGGCATTCTTTCAAATCAATAGTAATGCCGCCAAATACCTTGCGATGGTTATTTGTTATAGCTGTTGCCGTGTTAAATGAAATATCATATGTTGTCTTGCACGGGCATGTTAAATTATATGTAAGCAAAGTCAAGCTGATAAAATGCTGGTCGCGTATAATAATATTCTGTGAAACGGATTGACTGAGGGAGTTATCTTTGGATTCTTAGCTACGGTTGGAATTAATAACAGCGACATAGCGATAGCCAAGGTACGAGATAAGTTTGTATACTTGTATGATGGTCGGGTGATCAGAATTCGGCAAACGTTTGATATCAGATGTGACGATAGATTAGCAACATTTGAACAGGCCTATTTAAAACGTTTCCCATTTGTTTTTCAAAATGATTTAGCCGTCGGTCTAAAATTTACGAATTGGAATTACACTAACACAAATCAAATGTTATTTCTCGCGATGGGTGGTAGAAAACAACGATTTCCTGTCAAAATTCTGCTATCTACGAAGAAAGTTGATACTCGCACATCATTTGAAGAGTAAATAATGCTTCAGATTTAATAGGAAAGGGTTTTTGATATATGTTGTCAGTGATGAGGGTTGTTATAGGCTAGCAATTTGAATATAGCTAATTCAAACGAAACTTTAAACCTTAAACTCTAACTCTCTAAGCACGAAAAGCACAATGGTGGGAATGCATAGTCCGCCTTTAAGTATTTCACTGCGGGCTAAAGGCCCATTTCCACTCAGGCAAATTTTCTGCAGAAGGAACATTTTTTAAAATGTGATTGACCGACGCAAATTTTCCGTCGGAAAAATTTGAAGTTGAAAATGTTCAACTTTTAACAATGATATTTGCAGAAAATTTTCCGTCCGTGGAAATGTTTAGTTGAGTGGAAATGGGCCTTAACCGTCTGCCACGCAGCTATTATTAATTGTGATTTTCGAGCTCCTTTTCTTGACTTATGTATATTTATACAGTTCAAGGGCTGGCTAGCACCATTATTTTAAATCTTGAAAAAGTGAATTATCCAACATTTCCAGTTAAATTTTGCTCAATTTTTTCAATCTTTCAATGTTACTGGTACGGTGCTGTCTTACGTGAATAGAGACCCTGCATACCTCAATTTTCTAAAGGCCCTTCAATCGCTTCGTTTGTTTTCTATAAACGGGTAAGTTTATTATATAAGTGTTAAAACGGCGTGATTTAGGTGCCTCTGTGTTTTTTTAGAAGTACAAAGCGGTTAGCCCTTATTCCCTAACAGTTGAAAGCCGGCTTTGTCAACTTATCGCGTAATTTGAATTCCCCCAATTTTGAGGGGTCTATGCAGGAATCAGAATTTCTTACCTATCCCTGGTTCGAGTATTTCGGATACATTTCCTACGCTCTACGACTGTCTCTGGAACGGGAAAATGCCAAGAACTGATTCTGACAAAAATTACGGTAAATGTCAAAACTAATATATAGTATCAATAATCACAATATTGTTATGAGTGTTATTTGTTATGACAGATTTATATTACTAGAATATTTCAATTGATAGTTTAAATTTGAATATAGTTACCGGCGTTTTAGTTTATGTATAATATCTTGTAGAAATTTTTGGGGCCCGTTTTTGATGTCTCTTTCCATCACTGCATCAGGGAAAAATTAGAATTTTGTCGGGGAAGAGCTATGTTTTATAGTATGCTGTAGCAAGACAATTGTATTTTGCTGCACAGTATCCTCAAGATGCAGGAAACGCCGTTTCAGATACTCAAACTCAGGCAGAACAAAAGTTTTAAAGGCTAAAGCCGTTGGCGTTGCAACTTAGTTAGATCAGTGCTTAGTCCCCCTGTCGTGATGCTGTTAGGTTTGCGGTAGGTTATTCAATGTCAATAATCCAGCTGTGTTTTCAAAAAAAGTCTTTAGAATTTCTTAAACTTGGTGGGGGTCCAACGTGAGCGTCCCGCGATTGCCTTATTCTGCCAACTGCACCGCATGCTGTTCTAGCACTGCGTTCACTGCGACGTTTACTACGTCCACGGCTAAATATGTGATCGGGGTATCGATGACCGTCTGCCATGCAGACGCAGGTTACATAAGCAATAACTTTTACTGGACCTCCAGGGAGAACAGTTTGAAAATCCTGCAGTCTTTTGAAGATTGATGAAAAATATTTCATTCAGATTGCTTCATGAAAGAGGGAAATATTAAGTTGTGACTATAACCAATGACACGGCCGCTTTAAATTTTAGCTTAAAACAGTTATCTTACAGCAGCTATGGTTTTCTACATTGCATGCCATGGGGGAACGAAAAAAAGGCAATTCATAACAATTAGGTAATAGAGAATAAACAATTAAATGACCATGACCTCGCAATTAATAAAAAGAAACTTTAATTTATAAATACTGAAGTTTAATCTTGGACTAGGTTAAACAATCAATGGACAATTTTAAGAAACTTGAAAAAATCGCTACGCGGGAATAACCGGTCCCAGATCTTTAAAATTTATTGTCAAATCTGTGATGTTTATTAGGGTATACGCGTAAAAATGAACAAAACGAATATCCGGACAGGCTTGAACAAGATCAAGGTTGTGCTTCACCCTTTATAATTATAGAGAACATGTTGTCAGCAATGCCAATGTTACAGTATTGTTACAACTGGACAATGCTGTAACAACATTGTAATGTCGACAACTTGTTCTTAGGGTGAAGCACAACCGGCTTTTAGTTGATATATAGTGTGTAATATACTAGTTTCGATGTATGTTTAGAAACACAGTGTAACTAGATTGTTCCCGCAAAACAGTATGACAGCAACAGCCAATGCAAGATCTTTGTATAGTTTGTTAAACAGTCGTGTTATGAAATATCATACGTTAATTTCTTGCACGGGCATGTTAAATTATATGTAAGCAAAGTCAAGATAAAATGCTGGTCGAGTGTAATAATATTCCGTAAAACGGATTGACTGAGGGGGTTATCTTTGGATTCTTAGCTACGGTTGGAATTAATAACAGCGACATAGCGATAGTGAAGGTACGAGATAAGTTTGTATGGTCGAGTGATCAGAATTCGGCAAGCGTTTGATATCAGATGTGACGATAGATTAGCAACATTTGAACAGGCCTGTTTAAAACGTTTCATATTTGTTTGTTGAAAATGATTTTGCTGAACCGATAGTCTAAAATTTACGAATTACATTATTCATTAACACAAACCAAATGTTATTTCTCGCGATGGGTGGTAGAAAACAGCTATTTCCTGTCAAAATTCTGTTATCTACGGAGGAAGTTGAGCCGAGAAAAATAAACTTAACACACATTTGATACTCGAACATGATCTGAAGAGTAAATAATGCTTTGGATTAGGAAATGTTTTCTGATATAGCTTGTAACAGATAGGCAATTTAAATATAACCGAAAACTATAACTGAGGTTTTTTCATGCTTCATCGTTCTCTTTTGTAGGTTGAGATATTTTAAAATACCAAAGATCATGCATGGTTTTATATTACATATGAGGTATCTCAACCACTGTCACAAAATTAAGTCTATAAATCAGAAATAAAACATATTTTGTTCGGAATTAGAATTCTTCAATGCCAGGCATCGCTAATTATAAATTTGTTACACTTGTGCATAAACAGTGTTGGGTAATTCAAATTCGGACCATCGGCAATTAAGCTTTAGCAATTTTGTCGCAGTGGGTTACCAAGTTCCGGTTAATTTCATTAAACTGTAAAACAAACGTCTGTCGCTTTGAAGCTGTCATTCAACGGCGATACCGTCCAATTAAATTGATCAATTCATACAAGTGTGAAAGCATTCGCGAAACATTTGCCATTTCAATTTTCAAACAGTCAGTTTGGTGAGAGTTAGTGAACAATCTGTGTTGCCGGTGTCTAATTTACATATCATTGTTTGAACTTATTATTTATAGTCTTTCGCAAGAAACGGAAGGATGGCAAGGTTTGACTATATTACGCAGCAGAATGTTTATACAAATATGGCTTTTCAGCGCGTAGCAAGTGAAGCAGAAGAACAACAGACTTTAAGTTTTCATCCTACCCTGTTTGTTGATGGCGCAACAGCACATCTTCAAGGTTTAAACGTAGTTGGTAGCGGCCCAACAGCAGCGCACGGCTATCCTGTTGATTTGAATCATACAGCGAGCTCATCTCAAGTGGCATATACAAGCCCGCAGTCAAATTACGCAGGTATTCCTCCCTTTTCGTCGCTACTCACGGCAAGAGATCTACTCCTGAGGAGAGAACATCTCCCCGCAGCGCAACTTGCCAACAACACAGAACAAACATTTCATCATGGACTACAAGCTTCGGTTATCACATCACCATTTCAAAATCATGGCCTCAACCTCGCCATTGCAAGCCAACTGGCGAACAATTCAACACCACCAAACACACAGGAAGAGAACACTTCGTTCACAGCATTGCGTCCCGTGAATCAAGCAGAAAGACTCAACGGTACGGTCACAACAGATGCGACAACTCATGTCAACCTTCCTAGCCCAACAATCATGGTTTCAGCAGCGTCACATGCAACTAGCATCAACAATATGAAATCTGTGAACGTTGTAAACTCTCATGTCGATACTCTTACAACAGGCGCATTTACTCCCTACTTTAAACCACAAGAAATCAAACAAGAATTGGTCTGTCAGTGGTTGGTCACAAAAGGTAAAGTCGGTAGTTGTATTTGCGGGTGTAATTTCACTAACCTAGTTGATCTTGTCAAACATTTATCAAACGAACATGTAGCAAACCCCGAGAGTTCAAGCCATGTTTGTCGTTGGGATAAATGTAGTCGTGATGGTCGTGCATTTAAAGCGAAATATAAACTGATCAACCATCTTCGTGTGCACACAGGAGAGCGACCATTTTCATGTCCGTATCAAGAATGCGGGAAACTTTTTGCGCGCTCGGAAAACCTCAAGATACACAAAAGAATACACACGGGCGAGAAACCTTTTGTTTGCGAATTTGAAGGATGTAGTCGACGCTTTGCCAACTCGAGCGATCGCAAGAAACATTCACATGTCCATACTTCGGATAAACCGTACTCCTGTAAGATTGGTGGGTGCGAGAAAAGTTATACTCACCCAAGCTCGTTGCGCAAACATATGAAAGCTCACTTGGCCGTGAAGGAAGAGAATATGGTGGAAAATACATGTACGATACTTCGTGGCGAGACAGAGGGATTATGTACGTCTCTGGCAGCAGGAGGTGCTTGGTATTGCGCTGAGAAACCCGTGTCATTATCAGTTAGCGCAGCAGGAAACAAATCGAACGGCAATACATCGCCAAAGAACCAACTTAGTCCAATTGTAAAAAACAGAGTTTAGAGGGGACAAAGTCAACTGCGTTCAATTTACACACTGTGATTTGTCGGCCCGATTTCAGACACACTTTTATGATATTTGAGGTGAATTTAAAGTCATTTGACTAAATCATGAAAATATTCGTATTTAATATTCGAGTGTCCAATTGTGAAGTTGGTCCGAAAAATCGGAGTGGGCAAACGTAGCTTAGATATTTACAGTCATAGAGAGATAACATTCGTAAGTTATTTATTCTATACATGAGACAACGCTTCTTTCAGAGGGCGTTGTATTTTGACTCACTTCACGCGCATGTCATGTGTTTTACTAATACGTAGACTTAGTTGGCTCGAATTGCGAGAACATTTAATATCGTCTTATACATAATAAACACGGATCACCCACTTTGAAATTTTTCTAGTTTTCACTTGCACGAATATTTTAGGGAAGACACAACATGATTTGTTATCATTTGGAAATGGTGTCATCGCAAGCATGCACGTAACATTAGACTCGTATTACAAAGCAAAATATTTGAAAGATGAATGACTTGTATGATTTATATAAAACTTACTAATGGATGTGAAAGACATTTGAAACATTATATCACTTAACTCTTGTGTTTGTCTTTTTATTTTGTCGGAATGCAAGTTGCAAACTGAGTTGTCTGGCAGGTTTTGGCCTTGATAAATTTTATTTGTCTTTGCATTCAATGTGCGTCAGCGCCTAAAATTCCAGTCAAACAGCAAAACAAAATATTACCTGCGCAAATTATTCAATAACTTCCAAATAGAGCAGATTAAATTTATGCACTATCAACAGGGGGGTCCAGAGTCGGTCTCAAAATTATGCGTTTAGTACATGCGGTGCTTTGTGAAGCAAACTAAATATTTTCGAAACTCGGAAACGTATCAGACTCAAACTATTGAGATGAAAATGTGCTTAAACGGAATCGAGCAGCTCAGAAATAATATGAAGAAATATTAGGTACTTATTTCGCGAGTTTATGAACGAATTATCAGTCAAAACCCGCGCCAAGAGATGAAGTTTCCATTTATTTATATCTATATGTCACGATTACGTGTCTGCGTGCACTTTTATTTGGAATTTAGGTTCTGCAAGGTCATCCACGGGTGATATTCTATATTAGCGAAAATTTCAAACCCCCAAAATCAGACTCCGAAATGCGATGAATCTCGATCAAAATAGCTTTACATTAGTTACAATATTTCTCCGGTCCTTAAACTATATTTTTAACATGCAAAATGCAAAAGCGAATTTTTAGCCGAGTTATATTGGGAAGTATGTTCACAAATTTCACATGTAACACGATATGCATACGCCTTTTGTTACCAAAGACTTCTATATATGCCTGCTGCAATCAAGATTCGATCAGTGAACGACGCCCTGGTTTATCTGCAATCCCGGAGCGAAACATTGTTTCCACTGACTAGGCGATGTTTCCAATTGTTGCTTACAGTCAGGTCTGTAAGTAGGTATGAGCACAGTATGAGTCAATCGAGTCGGAACTGCTCCCAGAATGCAGGAGATAGCGTTTCTAAGCCTTAGAAAATCAAATATTTTTTGGTGGAGCATGGCCCCAGCGCCCCCCCCCAGAAGTGTCTTGGTCAATCAAAAATCCTGGTTACGCGCCTGACAGTTCCTGTAACATCCGCATCTGCCCAGCGCAGCTTTTCAAAGCTGAACTGAATTAGTGAAAACTGCATGTGTCTTGACGAAATCGCTAATCCGTGGTGAAAACTGACTAAGCGGACACTTAACAAAAATATGACATTTCACAGCAAACTGTACGTATTCTTGCAAAATTCCTCATAAATGACATCAATTTCCATGCATGCTTTGTACTCAATTTTATTCTGGATTCACATTTCAGTTGTGGGTTGGTCTCATTTCGTGATGTAGGTTGGTCTCATTTCCCCCCAGTCAAAATCTATATGTCCACCCCTGACTATCAAAAACAGACATTCCATAGGAAAATGTCTTACTAACTTTCAGCATTCGAACAACATTTATACAGCGTTGGAATATAATGATTAGTGGATAAAAATAGAAGTTTATGTCGGAAAGAAACCACACAATGAGATCAGTGAAAGAAACGCGATTGTTGTGATTGGTTGTGAAAAATAGAAACTATAAGTTTACTTTTTGCTGCTGACTTTTCCACCCCACTACTGCTAAATTTATTTTTTGATTCGTTTTGTGAGAATAAATTCGCCTTACAAAATGAGCTTTAATTAAACCTGTTTCGAGTTCTTCGTAAAGTTCCGACGATGAGAAAGAACTTGAAAAAAGTAAAAAAATATGTCCTTGACCTTGTTTAAAAGCTGGCATGAAGTTAGTGAAAGCGGAGCCTTGGGAAAACTTGTAACACTTCACTTTGTCATTAAAGGCGTGTCAAACGAAAGGATGAATTTAATTGAATATGGTTCATGTTACAGTCTCTGGTTTACAGTCTCTGGTTTACAGTCTTTGGTTTACAGTAATAAAATCTTCCTTGCAGCATAAGCTCAATTACACAGATATTACAATGTGTAAAAACTAATATTAATTATGATTAACTATATAATAATATCTATGATAGTAACTAAATTTGAGTTCAAACTCTTGACGCACTATAGCAATTATAAAAGAGTTTTTCAAAGGTACGGTTTTACATCTTGGAATGTTAAAAGGCCAATAATTCCTTAGGAGTTGTTTCTTTCTGGGAACAGATGGTGGAGTTTGTGTGAAAGCAGATACTATAATGTGCTAATGCAGATCGGCTATAATGAGTACTGAAAAGTTCTTTCGGAGTGAAATTGAAATCTTTCGGAGTGAGATCACCGAGTGAGATACAATAGTATACCTCGTACACCAAGCAAAATGTTTTATTAGCTTTATAGTCATGCAGGCAGATAGAGGAACAAAATTATGGAAAACTTAGGGGCCATTCACAAAGGATGTCCGAGCCAAGGGGGGGAGGGGGGTTTGGAAAATCAGGACAAACTCGGACATAGGGGGAGGGGTTTTTTTTAGCAATCCGGATGTCCGAAATTTTAAAAAATTCAAGAACAAATTTCTTTTTCCCTCTATTTTGAGCAGTCCTTCTCATTGTGAAATTGGCATTTTGACTCTGCGGTTAACACTAGATTTTGTTTTAATTAGTAATTTATATGTTTTTGTATTCACATTTATAGTTATAAAAAAGTTCTAAAAGTAAAAAAAGTTTTTTACTCTTGACATATACAAGGTTGTGTGAGTTTTTGCGAGACATGGTGGATGTCCGGGGGGAGGGGTCACTAACTCGGACAATGCCGGACAAGGGGGGGGGGGAGGGAGGTCTGAAAATCCATCTTTTGGCCGGACATCCTTTGTGAATGGCCCCTTACCGTATTGTGGGACAATTCTATTTTGCCTTCATATTGTGCCCTGAAGGCTAGTAAGTACGTTTCTGTATGTTGGCGGCGTTAAAATTTCTTGTGGGCTCCTGCCGACACGTTTTTCTTCGAATTTTATATCAAACTCTATTACAGTTAAAGAAAGTGAAATTTCTGATGCATTTCTAATACAAATGACTTGCATCAATAGAAAGCTAATAAAAAACTACATATAAGACATTTAAACGGTTAGTTGGGATTTTCAAGCGGCTTTCGAGTTATTGCTGTTTCAAATGTGAAAAATAAGCTATAATCTCGCCGAAAACCTGGGTACTAGTCTGAACTGAAAACACACATTCAACAGCTCATAACTCAAGAAGAACTTGAAAAACTCTGGTAACCGTTTAAATGCCTTATATGTAGCTTTTTGCAAGCTTTCAAATGATGCAAGTCATTTGTGTTAGAAATGTATTTGAAATTTCACATTTTTTAACTGTAATATAGAGTTTAATACAAAATTCAAAGAAAAACGTGTCGGCAGAAGCGGCAGAAGCCCACAAGACGTTTCAACGCCGCCAACGTACAGAAACGTACTTATTAGCCCTCAGGGGACAATATGAAGGTAAAATGGAATTGTCCCACGATATGGTAAGTTTTCTCCTTCTATCTGCCCGACTATTATGATATCATGCAGATATGATTAATTGACCATATCAAAACGGTGCGGGGTTAGAGTGCGGGAAAGGTTTCACGCATGCGTAATATATATTCAGATTACTGCGTATTGGTACATGCATTTGAACTTATGTTTGACGTATTCAGCTACCATTGACATCAATTGTTTTTCTTATTATAAGTGTGTCATTATAATCTACTCTATTTTGTTTCAGTCAATTCGCTGTTTTGACTCTTACAAACTATATATGATTGATGTCTGGCAGATGAAACTATATACATTCAAACGTGGGGGTCCAGTCAATTGTATAGGTAATATTATTCTGAATTAATTAAACAAAGATTTTGGTCGAAACTACCTGAAAAAGATTATGAAAACCTGAACATTTTCAGTGTAACTATGAGCTATCAACCCCAGACGAAGGTCCTTTCAATATTAAAGGCTTTAATATATCTTCAGTTTTTAGATCGTTCCAACCAAAACCTCACTGAGTACACTCAATAGTTTATTTAAACTATTCTCACGTAATTATATTTGTAGACGTTTATCATCACATGACACCATGTTTCTTTGATCAATTTTTGACTGAGAGCAGACTCTTGAAGAAAACGTCTTATTCATATGAAAGAAGTGGAGGGGGCCCGCACCAACAACTGAATTAAGAACCAGGAACAGCATAGAATTCCGCATAGAAATTCCTTATAGCACAGCATTTCAAGAGTATATAGAAACAATTATTTTCGATTCCAAGCCAATTACTGATTTTCGTTTCAGTCTTGAAACTGCAAGTAAGAAAAATATAGAAAACCATTTCGAGTGAAGGCCTTGTGGTTGGATGTTAGCCGTGGTTGAATAGAAAGTCTACATAAGTCATTGTTTTCTTTCCTACCCAAACTTGACAATATCTTGATATATCTGCAATGTTTGACAATATTTGTATCTGCTTTCATCTAGTAAGATAAAAAGCTTTTAGTGCGAGTTGCTTCACCAGCCTGACAAGATGTCAGCTCATATTCCGCCTATGAAAACATATTTGTAAAAACTTCCCTATATGCTATATCGTTAAAACAGTATCTTATGTTTCATGGGCGCAATTTGAATACCTATCTGTCAGGCAGTTTTCATATGAAATCTAGCTCCAAACGTCCAGGACACAGCCATGTTAATGATCCGCCCCCATAGATATAATAGATATCAACTATAGGATTTATAAGTCATGCACGCATGAAAAATAGTCGAATGTCGATACTCCATCATTCGTGATCAAGTACGCATTCTATACTATTTCTATGATCCGCCGGCCCACATGATTACGATGCGTGCATCGCAATCGAAGTTGTTCGTTTATTACATGGAACTACAGTACAGTAAAACTCTAAATTCTAAACCGAACTTTTTTTCTGGATAGCTCTATTAATTTTCAGGGAAAACTCCAGAAGAGAACCAGCCACAACCGCTGACCACAACTCTACTTATACGAGTTTTCAAGCACATCACCTCAGTGAAATGAAGTGTGTCTATTTTCCAACATAAATGGTATTAAATGCAGTGACTGGGCCCCTTGGAAAAATTCTGACGAGTACAAGCATGTGCATTATATTCAGTTCATTTCTTATGTTTTAAATGTTCTAGTTCGTTTGTGATTAAGTACGTACTGGAGTTGCTCTGTTGCTATGTGTTAAATGGTTATTTAAAATCAACAAAACACGATAAAATAGCCCTTAAAATGCTTAAAATGGCACTTTACCGACTCTAGAACATAAAATATTTACCCGGACCCCCCTAAACGTTCATTTTATTATGCATGGATACCGTGGGAGTCCAAACTATAAAAAAATAAACAAACTATATTCGAACTAGCGCAGAGTAAAATTGCTTCGGCCCCTCCTGGGATTTTTTCGGCCCCTCTTGATCAATCTCGTACCCAGAGTGTACCCGTGGGCAGATTAGGTGCTGGGTACGAGATTGCCTCTTGATTATAAATCCTGGCTACGTCACTGCACAAATGTGAAATCTTGGTGTGTAATACGCTCAACATGAATGTGGTAAAAGGAACCGATATACTGTACACAAATTAACCCGTCAATTCGTTATAATGGGTAGCTGCCTCGTCCCAAGCGCTATATAAACAGTTTTACATGAAGTATTCTCATCATCTCATGCAGTTTACAGAGAACGAGTACGCGTTGTCTGTCGGCGTTGAGGACCTGAGGTGGATTAGAAGAGTTGAGGAAATGGTTGAGGATAGTCGAAGTCATAGGATTAGAGCAAGGTTCTATTTAAATTCAATTGAAATTGTTAAATCAGTTATTGGAAAATGAATTGACCCGAAATTCCGCCGTTGTCCGCCACTGGGGTTTATACAGTCTTAAGCCCGTTTTCCACTCACGTATTTCGCCGCTGCTGGCGAAAAATTTCGTCACCGAAAAAGTTCATTTATTGTTCTTTCGCGCCGTCAACGAAAGGTGAAACAGAAGTTGAAAATTTTAAGCAACTGTAGCAGGAGAACAAATTTCTTCAGCGGCAAATGCTGAATGTAAAAAAATTATTTCTTTGTCAAAATTTTTCGCCAGCGGCGGCGAAATAACGGAGTGGAAAATGGGCATAACAGATCAGGGCCTGTTCATATGGGCAAAAGTTATCCCGGTTAACGAGAGAACTTTTCGACTAGCCAAATACTTTTGTTCTGTTCATATGGAGAAATATTATCCCGCTTACCGGGAAAAGTTTCCGGCTGTGACGTAGCACTGAACATCAATTGAATTGAAAAGTTGCTGACACGACAAAAAGTTATCCCGCTAAGCGGGAAAGTTGTGTTCATATGGGGAAAACATTATCCCGGTCACCGAGATCTCGCCTGTCAACAATCGAGATCTCGGTACACGGGAAAACTTTTCGTCTCATATGAACGCAATGTAACTTTTCATATTATTTTCGTAACAAGGCGAGATCTCGCTCGTAAACTTGTCGAAAAGTTTTCTCGCTAACCGGGATAACACATCTGCTTTTGGTGATCGTACTTGCTGGTGACATTGCTACTAACCCAGGTCCAAACAATCAACATCTACGTTGTCTTTCATTCAATGCGCAGAGTATTCGAAGTACTAGAAAGTTACCTGACGGATCATACACTAGCAATTTAAAATCCTTTCAAGACCTGGTTTACGCTGAGGAACTCGATTTAATTTTTGTGACAGAATCATGGCTCAATGATAACTTTTCGGACAAAGAGATTCTTCCCAAAGGTTACAACATCGTAAGGAAAGATCAGTCAGCTAACCAACGCGGAGGTGGCGTCTTCATAGCACTGCGTGTTGACGTCCCTTACACCAGAATTACTGCTGGAAGGAATGGTCCAAACTGGTCAGATCGCCTAGAGATCGTCGCTATCGAACTCGATATGTCTACCTGTAAGAAATGTCTTCCGTGTGTCTGTTACCGACCGCCTAGTTGTGATAGTCACGAATGGCTAGCGTTGTTCACGGCATTTCTTGAAACAACGGCAAATTACGAAAAGGTCCTAATCACCGGTGATTTCAATTTTCCTGACCTCACTTGGAACTCAACTCTTCCACCGAAATCGTCACATATGAATCCATCTACTGGATCTGCAGATTTCAAAGAATTAAGTCTAGATTTCTTCCTACACCAAGTCAACATTTATCCCACCCGACAGAACCACATTCTAGATCTCATCCTAACATCCGCTTCCGAGAATATCGGTAACCTCTCGTGCATTCCACCTTCAACTATAGGCATCTCTACTGATCACCATCTGTTGTTCTTTGACCTTCTACTTTACGTCAAGTCGACCGGATGCGACAGAAGAACTGTGTTTGACTTTCAACATGCTGACTGGAACGCTTTGCACGAGACTCTGAGCCATCTTGATCTTGCTCCGGGTGATTCCACTAATATCGATGCTGACTGGACGAAATGGAAAGATTTGTTTCTTGGTGCTGCTGCCAAACATATCCCGCAAAAAAACTTCAAAAGACGTACCACACCTTTGTGGATCGACGGCGAAGTTAAACATCTTCTTCAAAAGAAAGACACTTGCAGAAGAGCGGCCAAACAGAAATCGTGCTCCAGCCTCTGGGAAAAGTATCGGGAGTTGCGACGTAAAACAAAGTCCATCATCTACGCGAAACGCAAGAAATTCCTTGAATCTCTCCCAGCCTTACTGAGATCGAGTACAAAGAAGTTTTGGTCAATTTTCAAGTCCGTTTCCAAGCACTCGAACATTCCCAACAAAATGTCATGGTCTCATCCTGACGACGTAACAAGCTCAGCCAAGAACCCAGCGGATATTGCCAACTTACTCAACCACTACTTCTATTCCGTTTTCAAACCTTCTGATGACGAAACGTCCTTTCCAAACTCTAGTGACTCGAACTCTGATACTTCAGAATGTACCATCTCCAGCATCACCTTAACACCCGAGGAAGTTTACCACGTTCTTGCTGTTCTCGATGAAAACAAAGCGACTGGCCCTGACAAAATACCAGCGAAACTCCTCAAAAACTGTGCGTCCAGTATTTATTTATCGCTATGTGATCTCTTCAACAAGAGTTTATCTCTGGGTAAACTTCCAAATGAGTGGAAACTCTCCAATATTGTTCCAATCCCAAAGAAAGGTCCAGCTGAAGATGTATCAAACTATCGACCAATATCTCTGTTGTCCCTGGTCTCCAAAGTCTTCGAACGTTGCGTCTACAACCAACTCGTATCACACATTTCCACTCAACTCCACCATCTACAATTCGGTTTCCTCAGAGGCAAGTCAACCACCTCACAGCTTCTGCACGTTCTCCAGGATATTCACCAAGCGTTGGAGAGTCGAAACCAAGTCGACGCTGTGTATTTGGACTTTGCAAAAGCGTTTGACAAGGTTAGTCATAAGCTTTTGTTGACTAAACTTCACAAGTTTGGAATAAGAGGTGACCTACTAAGTTGGTTTGAAAATTATCTCTCCGGCCGCTACCAAAGAGTCACTGTTCTGGGTGAGACCTCGGGTACACTCCCTGTACTGTCTGGAGTTCCTCAGGGATCAATCTTGGGGCCCCTCCTTTTCCTAGTATATGTGAACGATCTTCCACATTCCATCTCGGGCGAATCAACTGTGGCAATGTTTGCCGATGATACCAAGTGCTACCGTCCGGTGAAAGATTTACCCGATTGCGAAAGTCTGCAGAATGATCTCAATAATCTCGTGAACTGGTGTACTATCTGGAAGATGGACTTAAATAAGTCTAAATGCGGAGTAATGAGCTTCACAAGAAGTCGCCAACCAGTCACAACAAATTATAAACTACTGGATAGTTCTCTGAAGCAACTATGTCATCAAAAAGACCTTGGGATTGTTGTCACAAAAGATCTCAAGTGGACGAAACAGGTTGAAGAAATAACATCAAAAGCGAGCTCAATGCTAGGCTTCATTCGTCGAACAGCCTCCGACACGCATAACATCCACGTGCGAAAGGTGTTGTACCTGTCCTTAGTGCGCAGCAAGTTAGGATATGCCAGCCAGGTGTGGGCACCTCAAACTGTCAGCGACATACTGTCAATAGAACGGGTTCAACGTCGCGCGACCAAATTCATCCTTTCCCTTCCTTACAGAACAGCCACAACATACAGGGAACGACTACTGGTTATCGGTATTCTCCCAGTCTGCTATTGGCACGAATTTCTAGACTTAGTTTTTCTTTACAAGAGTATTCTAAGCAACGATGTCAATGTGTCAATACGAACAACCACCCGGACGACTAGAAACGCTGACCCTGTCAATGGTATTCTTCTTAATGTATCTCGATGCAGGACAGTTAGCTACAAGAACAATTTCTATGTGAGAGCGCCTAGCGTATGGAACATTCTCCCTAGCAATATTCGTGACACTTCAAGATCATTAGCTTACTTTAAAATCTCTTTATTCAATTACTACTTAAACCTTTTAGAACAAATATACAACCCGGACAATCCTAGAACATTTAAGTCCGTGTGCGTCAAATGCCACTCAACTCGGTCTCTTGATAGTTTATTAGTGAGGACATGTTGTTGACATTTTAGCATAATTTGTTTTAATGTTATATATTGTAACTTATTGTGAGGGGCCCCATAATTGGAGATTATCTCTGTGGCTAGTCCCTGCCCGAATTGTATGTAAATTTTGTAAAGTATTAGTCTTATTTATGTCTGTTATGTTTGGCGAATCTTGTAAAATAAAATAAAATAAAATAAAATAAAATAAAATAAAATAAAATAAAATAAAATAAAATAAAATAAAATAAAATAAAATAACTTCTGCCCATACGAACAGGCCCTCAGTGGGTTTACTTCCCGCGTGCGTGTCTCACGTGCGTGTCTCGCGTGCGTGTCTCGTGTCGTGCGTGTCTCTCGTTGCTTCATCAGCAAGTCCGATTGTTTATATCAGAAAAAGTGAAAACAAATGGCCGAAGCAAAATCATGATGGCGCAAAATGGAAACAGCTTGTTTTACGTACGAAGGACTGCCTGTTTTAATGAATCAACAACCATGTGATTATAAACCTCCAGTGTGGATATTAGGAAAACAGTACGATGGAAAATATGATGGTATTAAATTTTGCTTTATTTCCTTTTGTTCGCAACGTATTTCATTTTGTCATAATTTATATTGTCATACATACTTTGATATTGTATATAAATATAACCAAAACATATAAAGTATCATTATAAGTATAAATGTTTGTTTTTCAGAAATTCAGAATGCTGTAAAGGCTTGTCTTTGGTTTACATATAGAAAAGGTTTTCCAGCAATTGGTAAGCTAATATTTCTCACACAAAATTAATATTGATGATTCAACAGAATTAACCCATTGAGCCCTTTTGTCGAGTAAAAGTGGTGTTAGACAGAGTAAAATAATAAAGTAGGGAGCATCAGGATGCATTACCACTTAAAGGGTTAACCATTAACATGCAACGCATAGCTACTGTACCTTTTGACGAGTAAAATCATCTAGCATTAGACAAAGTTTTACTAAGAAAACTGTTGGCCAGTATTGAAAAACAGACAGAATACTGAAACTGAAAATAAATGCCATGCTTGTACATGAAATATTTATTCCAACCTAATTTTTGCCAAGACTTCAAGAAACCTCAGTACACTACTGCTAACCTCTATCTTAATAACATTAGGGAGTTTAAGCTTCATGTTTGAGGGAACGGCAAACAGCAAGACTGACTTTTCTTGGCATAATTTTCGTTCAATTTCTGTGTGTCATTTTCTTTCATATGGCACAGCATTCTAGTTATAAAACAACAAGCCCATTTACTTTTTATTGCTTTATAGCGTAAAATTTTTCTTTGCCTGATGTTTGTTGTTGAACGTGAAGCTTAAGCTCTCTATTGTTTATCGTCCATCCATCTATCTTCCATCTGTCTATCATCTGTCTGTCTACCGTCTGTTTGTCTTTCATCCATCCGTCTAACATCTCTTTGTCTATTGTTCGTTTGTCTATCTAACGTCTATCGTTCTTTGGTCTAACGTCTATTGTCTCTTCCTATTCTGTCTCTCATCATGCATTTCTTTAATAGTCTGTCATTTTTGGTCTGCTTATTTATATGTTAGCGTAAATAATGCATTGTATGTGCCAATACGCAATAACGAAACCAACTGAGAGGAGCTTCCACGAAACCTAAAGCTTTTGTTTCTTGTAAAAATGACACAGCGAGTAAATTTGTTTGGTTGACTTTTTTTAATGATACAGCCAGTTTTTGTCGAGAATAAAATGTCAAGATATAAGACAGGTGGCATTTTGATGGTGGTTAGTCTCTATAAAACCGTGTTAAAATGATCTCATTAATAAGTTTGAATACACTACAGGCAAGTGATCACATTCAGCAATTTTGTCATGTAAGCAAAAGAAAAAACATGATGAGTACCGGTAAAAACTTCAGCACATGTTTTTCGGTGATTAATTATGGGATTTTTCCTTGGGGAAATAAATAGCTGCGGTGCCAAAAATACAATCAATAATCTGATTATGAACGTTTAGACGAAACACGGAGACGATATACAGGCCTCGAATTTAGCAGCGGCCACTGGCCCTGCTTGTTGGCCGCTATGCCCTCGAAATATACTGAAATCTATGGCCAGTAGTGGCCTGCCATCAACCCCAGACTACAGTACGGTACTTAGGCTTTAGAATACCAAGTGTATGATTTGTAAAATTGGCAATAAATTTAAAGTAGTATTTAAATGCACCTCCTCCGGCAGTCTGTCTGTTGAATCATGTATTAAAATATCCATAGTTTTGTTTGGCATTTTTAAAAATATTGTTGCTGTTCTGTATATTTTTATGGAAACTCAAACGTTATTTGAAACTTCAAAATAGCAACTGAATAAAATTTTCAAACTGGCCTTGAATCTTGATGCCCTGTGTACTGGCCTTGATGCCCTGAAAAACTTAGTAACATTCAGGGACAAACTGGCGTTGCCTTTATTTTTCTCAAATTCGAGGCCTGGATATATAATAGACCAGAGACGTTAGACGCAGAGACGTTAGACGCAGAGACATTAGACGTGCCCAGACGTTAGATGCAATCGAATTTTGATATCAATCTAAGCGATCCACATTTGTATTCAAGCATTAATTTCATCTCACCACAGAAAATCTGTACTTGCTTTTAATGCTGTTCAATTTCTGTACATACTCAAAACACAAATCAATATTTTCAGTATATTTATATTTTTAAAAATGCAATATCAAATATTCTATATGTAATAAAAAGATATGTATACTAATGTATTTATCGATATATCAACATGATGTTACAATAACAGCCTATGAATCTATGATTGGCAGTGGGGCACATTTCTGCTTCATACCCATTATTGCATGCAAGATCTCCCTTAACAAATAAAATCATCTGACGTTAGAGTAAAATAATGTTGGGCAATGTTATTACAGTTGTGGTAACGGAAGTGTTCACACAAACCAATTGATTTGATACATTTGACCAAGCCTAAGAAACAAATATGTCCCTCAAGCATAATATGCCTTCCAATCTTTACCTCTTGTCATTTTTCAGAGCAGGAATTTAGAGCTGTGCGCCGGAGCCGGAGCTCCGGCATATTTTGCTGGAGCCGGAAAACTCCGGCAAACCCCGGGGGGGGGGGGGGGGGGGGGCAGGGGGGCGGGATTTGACATTCAAACAAAATTTTGTGTCAAGTGATTCAAGTGCTGGTCAAGTCGATCGTACCCAGGGGCAATTAACACTGTTTCAAAGAGATTTCTCAAACTGAATAATTCATAAAGGAAGTATATTAAGTCTGTTTTTTGAAATCATAGGAAGATTACAGACATTTTTTTCCAAAATTTATTCTAGATTTTCTTTTGAAGTATGGATTTGTTTGAGAAGGCATATCCAACAATTGCGAATGTTTTTTCCTATGATTTCTAAATATGGACTATTGCCTCATATATTCAACCTGCTTGTCCGTATATTGGAGGGAAAACACTTGTTCATGTTGAATATATTACGTGAAACATAAATACAATTTTTAATATCATAATATCCACATCTTGACAAATAAATGTTTGTATTCTATTATTTATATTGCTTTAAGAGAAGTGCAATACAAGACCAAAAAAGTTTCATTTGTGATGAATATTAAAAAGAGAAAAATCAACAGTTTATATCAGTTTCAGTAGTCCCCGCCATTTTCCAGAACTGATGACATGTGATTTGGTGGCAAAATTTATCCCAGATGTTCCGGAGATCCCACTGTGTCCCTGCTCATTATATATGCAAATGACAACAATTTTTAAAATTTGTCAAATACCCCTGCCCCCGGGACTGTACTGATTGTCAAATTCCCCCCTCACGGGATATACTTCCCCCCCCCCCCTCCGCCGGCCTAACATTGATAGGTGCATAATAGTGTTGTTTACTATAAAGTTTAATTAATAATTACTTGCTCCGATCCGTTTCATGGTTTTGACTTTAGAAAATTCTGCAAGCGCATTGCTATCGCTTTTGATACAAAAATCCGCTGACCCCAGTGTATTTTGGGCGAAAATACCATGCTGCCATGCGGTTTTACTTTTCACTTAAAATTTCCTTGCCGAAGCAGGAGCTGGAGTTTTGACTGCCAGAGGCTTTTGCACTGGTATAGCGACAATAAGCGACTATTTATTGGGACGAAAACAACGTGTTGTAGTAGATGGTGTTTCGTCAAGCTATCTTGATGTGACATCCGGAGTTCCACAAGGAAGTATTGTCGGCCCCCTACTCTTCCTGGTCTATGTTAACGACCTCCCTGACGCTGCTGAATACAGCAAAGTACCCATGTTTGCCGACGACAGCAAATGTTATCGAGTCATAGAAACGTCATATGACACTCAACTCCTTCAGTCCGATCTGCACTCCCTTTGCAATTGGTCCTCTACCTCAGAATTGAAGTTTAATCTCAAAAAATGCATTGGAATCAGATTCTCCCGCAAACGTTTAATTGAGTCACCCGAATACAGTTTAAACCACGAACTGATAACCCTTAAATCATCTCAAAAGGACCTGGGCATAATAATTAGTAACAACTTAAAATGGTCACCTCAGATAACCAATATCATGTCAAAGGCAAATCAGATGCTTGGTTTTCTCCGACGTAACTGTATCCACCTGACTGATATGAAATGTCGACGCTCTCTCTATCTGGCACTCGTGAGAGCTCATCTGTGTTATGGAAGTGAACTTTGGGCGCCTCAATCAACATCAAAGGACCTTCTCCGTATCGAAAGTGTTCAACGACGAGCGTCCAAATACATACTTCAAGATTACCACTCTTCCTACACTGACCGACTGAAACTTCTTAACCTTCTTCCTATTTCGTACTGGTATGAGATGAAAGATATTATTTGTTTCTACAAGATCAAATCTGGACTCTACGACCTAAACCCCGAAGATTATATCGACCACCCTACCCATCATCTGACCCGCTTCAGTTCAACCAACTGCTACAGACCAACCTTTGCAGAACTGCCTATTTCAGAAGTTCCTTCTTCAACAGAATTGTGCCTCTGTGGAACAACCTTCCTGAAGATCTGAAATCCTCCACCTCTACTGCCTGCACACTCAAGTATAAACTGAAGAACTACTACCGGGTCAAACTTGAAACATTCTTTGACGTTGATCGTCCGAGGACATGGAAAACCATTTGTTCTAAATGTCGTTCTTGTTCTATTACTTGTTGTTCATGATAGTTGAGAGCGCTCCAAGCTGTCTTTGCATTTCCAAAATGTCTTTTGTTTCAGTCTGTTTGAATAAATTGAATTAAATTAAACGCCCAGATAAAAACAACACGTACCCGGACAGTCTATGTTCTTGAAATCCTATCTTTGGAAAATGCAGGGACAGCTATATGTATAAATCTTTTTTTCTAACTTGATCATTTTCCAAACCTTCTTTGCAAATTTCAGGTCTCTTCATTTTAAGGCCTGCAATATATGGGCGGTCCATGTCTAGTTTATATTAACTTTGGAAAGTGTAAGGATGGTTTGGAACGCATTGATCGTGTGTTGTAATTTTGTATTGTAGCTTTGTTAAAGTTTGTAACCCTGTCTCTATTGTTTTACAATGTCAATGTAATGTGTAGGTAGGACTTAATTTGGGACTCCTCAGTCCTGTTGTCTGTACCTTCAATCGTTTTGTTGATTGTAAAGTTTATAAATAGTAAATCAGAGCTAAAATAACCGGAGTTTGCACAGCTCTACAGGAATTAGCATTCTAAAGACCATAGAAACACAAAGTAACAGGGCATGCATGCCCAGGAGTTGCATTGTGGTCATACTTCCCCCATTCTTCTTATGATAACCTCCAGGTTTTTAATCATCTGAACAGCCCTGTAACCTGTAAATTGTGCCAAACACATATGAAAGTATATGTTGAGCAACTTAAACTGTTATAAGATGATTTAGAAATGTTCAGGAGAATAACTATTTGATGCTGCCGTAGATAATGTGTGTAACTGTATTCCTTTCGTTACAGGCGGTACTGGTCCGTCATCAGATTCAGGATGGGGTTGCATGTTAAGAAGTGGTCAAATGATTTTAGCTGAAGCTTTACTACGTAGACATTTGGGAAGAGGTTAGTTTGTGCATATATTTTATTTACGTTAACACTGTAATAAAGTTACAATTTGTAATTAATAATTATGAATTGTCTGTGCCAGTGTAGGTCAGAGGGTGTAGGTAGTGCCAATAATATAAACAAGCTTTCGTTGGTAGGGATGCAACTACATGAAAAATATAAGGAGAATTTCTACGTTTTGAGCGAAGGCCCTTCGTCTGGAACTTTACTAGCGGGGGTCAGGAAAATTACATGAGCTTTTATACTAAGAATATAAAAGCGTTTTTCCTATGTTTAACTCTATCTGTCTTTGCCTGTCAAAAGCAGACATTGTCTGTACTTATAATACTTACCTTATTCAATACTTGTTTCATATATTTTGTTTTATTTGCTGTAGTTTTCTGTATATTTGCATTAATATGTTCTGTAATGTGATTTACATTTTTTGTTTATACTTTGTTTTGACTAATCCATCTGATTGGCTTATTTTTTGTCATGTGATCACTTTTATATTCTAATAGTATAAAAGCTCATGTAATTTTTCCGACCCCCCCCCCCTATACTCCAGACGAAGGGCCTTCACTTGAAACGTAGAAACTCTCCCTATATTTTTCAGGTAACTAGTTACATCCTCTCAGCAGTGCTCTCTAGAGGTGTGCAAATCCGATCCGATCGGATTCATTCGGATTTCGGAACCAAAATATTCATTTCGGATCGGATTGTTAAAGTTGTTTCGTAGTTGGGTCGGATCGGACTTCGATATCCGAAATAAAATGAATTAGTTATCCACACGCATTATCGCAAGAATTAATTATCCATGCATTTATCAAAGCATCATCGCGGTTGTCGCTGCATTATTCGTTTGATATTTCAATTGGACGTCACTTTGTCAGCTTCTTGACATGTATTTCTTGCTTTTATATTTATTTGGTTAAATATTTCAACTTGAATGAGAAAATTATTTTATTAAAAAATTCTTCGGATCGGACTGGAATTCTTTATCAAAACTCGAATCGGATCGGATTAGACAATTTCGGATCGGATCGGATTTTGGACATTAGGCAATTGTCGGAATATAAACGTCCGATCCGATGCACACCTCTAGTGCTCTCCCCGTGACGAGTAAAGTCATCTGGCATTAGATAGAGTTTGTACATTGGGGCACAATACTGTGAGTAGATGTTAATAATGAATAATTATATAATTAACAGCAATTAAAAGAGACTGACTCACAACAAAATACTTGATCCTTTGTACTTGATACCTAAGCCTGCTTTCCACTAGGCTAATATGTTTGTGTGTAGCAAATCAAAAAAATATTGACAGCAGGATTAGTTAGTCAAAAATTTCGATGTGAAAAAGTGAGAACCAATCGTGAGTTTTTCTGCTGAACAATCACACCCATTTGCTTAATGGAAAACTTGCTCCTCTCTCACTCTGCCCCCTGTTTTAGAGGAAGGATATTATAAGCCCCACTTTTTGAGCTTTCCTTATTTGATCTAAAATTGTCCTCACTGACACTGCTGAAAGTTGTGTTTTGGCTTACATATTGGAGTAAATCAATAAGCTTCCCCCCTATTGCTGTAATTGTCCCTCTCAAATAAACAGTCTTCAAATGTGCCTCAAAGAAACAACTCAAACAAGCCATACCAGGAGGAACTTTTAAGCTGTATTAAAATACATTGTTTACTAGTAAATTGAATGATTTATAATTCTGCACTATGTAGACTGGACATGGAATCCTCAAGAAAAAAATATGAAATATATGATGGTAAGTTCTATTATATATATAACGCTTCATGTCATTCTATGTCATATTTGCTGCACCTACATGTACAGTACATCATGCTTACCATTTCGGTAATCAGTTGTCAGGACTGATCAACGTTTCTTTCAATGTTCTCTGAACCAGAATACAATTTGTGTTTGCAAAGTGCTGTCCAACAGGGACTGGTTGTGTGAAAGGTAGTTACAGTGTAAAAGTTAACTACAGTTAGTGTGAAAGTTAAAGTGGAAGTCAAGTCCGTAATGTAAACAAACAGTTTGTTTACATTTTGAACTGCTGTATTTTTTAAAATATGATGTACTGTCTGAATATCTAACACCATTTTGGTTCGCTATGCTTCTAGATGAATATGAAATAGAGTTTATGTTCAGAGAAATTCGAAACATTCGAAATTTGGGCATTGTTCACATTAGAGGTCCTCACATTGTTATGAGCAGAACCGATCAAAATAATTTATTTTAGTGTTAATTACTATATTTAACTACAAAATAGGGATTAAAAGGTACATGTAGTATTGTAGTTAATAATTTTATTCAACCGCCCCTGGAGGATATATTGTTTAATATTCAATTGGGTTTAAAAACTACTCTTCAAATGTTGCTAAAACTTGACCAGTACCTCTTTTTGAACGTATGTTGTTTTTCCAATCACGTGTGTTTAGCATCTTATGTTGTAAGATGTACGATATATTGTAAATATATACAGTATATATGAAGAATGATAAAGCTTTTGAGGTATTTTTCCTGCAGGTACTAAAGTCCTTTTTGGATAAGAAAGACAGTTTTTACTCAATCCATCAAATAGGTACTGTACGTAAATTTATGATAAACGATCTCTTCCAGTCGCCTTCAATGCTGGCATATTTAATGCAAAGTTTCACATTTATTCTGACACTGCGAATATACGTTGTCTCGAGCAGGATTCAAATATTTGGCTATCGAGTCAACGGGGATTGGTAGCAAGTCTAATTTGAAGGCTGCTTTCCAGTTAATTCATACGACGCACGGGAAAGTTTAAATCCCTTTAAAAGTTTCTTAGTGATGAAATAACTAAATGGATAAAAGCAAAGCAATTAGTTTTGTGCATGAATTGAAGTGTATTTAAATTTCTCCGTGCGTGTATACGTGTGTGTGTGTGAAAAGAGCCGATGTTGTTTGCTAGAAATAAAAATTCTACACCATGCATATGTACAGCAACAATCAAACAATTGGAAATTGGTCACAAAGGTGACATCACCATGCACTGTTGCCATTTTTTATTTCGGAAACTTTCCATTTCGGGCATTTTCTTGTTGTACAATAAACTATCTGACCAATTTAAAAAAATTCTGTAGAGCCAAATTTAAAAAAAACCCGTTATAAACATTGTTTTTCGAAATAACTTTTTTTATTGTTGCGCTTATCTGCTCCATTCCAAATTGATTTCGAAAGCATTCTGCTTTTGTCACGCTACAGTATCTATATAGATGTGTTTGCTCGGAATTTGATTAACCAAACGAAGGACCTGTCTCAAATAGCATAGGGAGATTTGATCGCGTGCGAGGAAGTCGTAGTCGTTCTCGTTTCTGTTTTATAGCGGTAAGCCAGCAAACAACGAGAAAAATTTTCTATAAACTAAATCTCGTGCAGGCTAAAACCCCCTACAGGCGAAAATCCCCTGCAAGATTAGCCCCTTCTATGGGGAACAAGACACGAATTAAGTGCAAATAAGTCATGAATATACAGTAAGTGGAGTTAAAAACAAGCCAGATATTTGGCATTAATATATAGATAATTTTCGCCAGATGAACGCTAGCTGCATATTATTTTTGCAGAAAAGAAAAAAGCGCCAGCTTTCTTTGTTTTTTGGGGAGGAGTCGTGAGGACTACGAGATTTCTCTAGAATTTCGTACTCAGATGGGCGATGGCGACGACTTTTTCGCATCAATACGGGGATGGCGTAAGCATACAGCCTGCGTTTCGCATTGACGAATCTCGTACTCGTAGTCGCTGCTAAAGTTCTCTAGTGAATGCTGTACTGAAGATATTGTTTTTTGGCGTAAAATGTATATTACATATTGACGGGTGGTTCCGTTGGAAAAGCTTGTGTAAAGGAAACTTCCATGCAGATCAATTAACGCTGGAACTGCCAGTCCGGGAGCACACAAGATGCTGCTCTGGTAATGATAATGCCATCCATTCTGTCACAGAAGCTAAGTTTCAAATCTAAATCAAAGGAACATTCATCTAGAAGCAACTGCAACAGTCGGAGCTCTTTTATCGCACCGTCAACTTTAACCCTGAACAAGTCGCAGCAACAGCGATCCAAGAAATTTTCAAACCAGATGTAATGTTGTGCGGAAAAGTGAACGTTGACCAGCGGTTAGCGGGGAGTGTTTTTCTTGGAAGAATGTAAAAGGAACAAGCAGTAGCGAAACATGATGACGCCTCTTTACCTTGGGCGGTGAAACACCTTTTGGCCATGGTATAGTTAAATCTCATCTCGCCATATATAGCCATGGAAATATTCTCTGCGACAGATGTACGAATATCGTCTGAGGGGCACAAATGCCTTGGTGGCTACGTCGGTGCAGAACAAGGAAAGAGTGAGTGAGTGCGTACATGGTAGAGTCATACCCATGTATTGAATAATATAGGCGAGTACGAAGCTCAAACAGGTAAAACAGCATTTGTGATCTGTTTCCTGCACTATTTCACCTACCATACTGTACAACGATATCATCGACACCCAGCTCCTTCTTGCTGTTACATGTGGGAAAACTATCGGTAGACGATCGTAATCTTCTTGCACTCCCACTCGTTTAGGAGGTCTTGGCATACCTCTCCTCATTGATATGTGTGCATTTAATAATGATGACTCAAAGCTGGTATGTCAAGGTCTTACCGAGACGTTTGTTCGCCAAAATGATGGAGAATGAATTGGATCGGCGTGCATGGACGGCTGAAGCAATACGTCGTCATGTAAGGGCCAACTGTAAGTCAACATCCAATGACAGTCAAGGAACGCGTGATAGTGATATCGCACAGCTGAAGTGTTCCTACATCTGGTTGACAAACTTGTCACTTGAAGAAGGGCATGTGTTAAACAATAAAACAAGATGGAATTCTTCGTTTCAAGCTGTCTCTGGTATCGATGGCAGTTGAAACAGCTACCAACTCAATGTGTCTATGGTGAGTTATTCCTTAGCCTGCTCGCAGGCAAATTTCGTTCAAAGGAAAACCGGAATTTTGGGTACCGTTTCAAATTTTCGGGTGGGGCTTCTAGCAGGCTAGTTATTCCTGGGCGAAGATTATTCATAGCTGACCACGCCCTATCCCGGAGATTTTGTCCACCGGCGGCACGATGAGTTTCGAAATTCATTAATAGCCGCCACTGATGAAGTTACGTATGCTGAACCAGCGCTTGCTCTCTTATCTGCTAAATGTGTCCGACAATGACGCTCATGTCGACTTTCTGGCAGAGAAGGCATTTTTTTATGGCAATTGCTAGATAGTATACTTCAAAATAAGGTTTCCGTTTTTATCTCAATTATTAAAATAAGTTAGGATAGTTTTTTCTACGTTATAAAAACGGAAACCTTATTTTGAAGTATACTATCTACCAATCACCATTCTTTGATGTCAGGGTATTTAACCCGTACACCTCGACACGCAGAAACTATAGCGTCGGGAGCACCTTCGACAACAACAACAACAACAACAACAACAACAACAACAACAACGCGAAGAAAAAAAAGAGGCAATGTAATCAATGAGTCGTCCATGTTTCTTCCACTCATCTTGTGTTTTGAGCTTTTGGTGGATGGGACAGAGAAGCACAGCATTTCCTAACTGCTTTGGCTGACAGGATTGCTATGAAGAAGCGTGTAAACCTAAGCATACTTGTGGGTTATGCCTAGAAAGAGATCGCCTTGACACTAATTCGTGCTAAAGTACTCTGTACTCGTCGAAGTCGTTTGTGGCATTCTCCAAAACTCTACCTTCTAATTATTTTTGAATAACTTGTCGCATAAGAACTATAAATACTTGTATATTTTGTATTTTACTCCTTATCAGTCTTCGTCTCGGTGTTTTAAATAAAATGCTTCAATATTGCAGTTTGATTAGTTCAGCAGTTTATATTCTCTTACCTTTTCTTTTCGTCCAAAATATGTAGCTCAGATGGGCGTTTCTGAAGGCAAAGCCATCGGTAGTTGGTTTGGACCAAACACTGTTTCCCAAGTATTAAGGTAAGAAGTTAATTGATAACCTGACATAAGAATAGATGTTGGCATTTAAACTAAAAATACAGAAAACGCATCTACACATTATCATACCAATCCACCATCCAGGTGGGTCCATTGCATTTCCCATTAACCCCAGTGTTGTACTGCTCTTTCGGTTTGGTTATAACCATTGTTAAGGGTGCTTACCAGTCATATGTTTCTTGCGCGCACATACACGCATGGAACGTTTCCAGAGAGTGTATCTGCTAATTGCCAAAATAGAATAGCCAAAACCATGGTTCCAGTTACTGTATGCTACAAATCCCTTAACCGTATTTGCATCTCCTTGCCTAGTTTTAAAATTAGTCTATAATAGGAATTGTCTATTAGTTATATTGAGTGAGATGCCCAAAATCCTGATATGTGTGTGTGGTTGTTTAATGTGTTACGACCAAATACAAGGGCAACAAACGCTGTATATCACACTGACATTACAAGAGTTTAGACGGTATATTTGACACCAATATGATTGCACTACATGTATATCCACCTAAACATGAAAACATGCACGGATCACTTTACCAATGTCCACAAACTAGATTTTATTTTATGAGAGGTAAATTCTGTCTGTTATAAGTATAGCAACGCTCTATTTTATGAACCACACGGCTTTATATAAATAATCAAGTCCCGTTCTGTTATAGTCTATAGCTACAGTTAAAGCTGATTTCCACTCCGTTCTGCGCATCAGTTCTGCTCATAACAAAGGGGGACCCCCAGATATGAACATTGCCCAAATGTTGCATCTTTCGAACTTTTTTGAATTGAAACGTACAGTTTATATTCATTTACAAGTATAGCGAACCAGAAAAGTGTTCGATATTCAGTTACTATATCATATTTTACAAATGCAGCAGTTCAAAACGTAAACAAAGTTCGCGCATGTGCACAGGAGTGGACATCATCTTTAAGACCCTGTTGCTAAATATATATTATAGCATAATTATACTATTATTGTATGGTGTCCCATGTCCGCCAAAAATCAACTTTTGCATTTCACCATATCATATTTTGAGGATCATATTCATTTTATTAAAATAACAACATTGTTTTTGAAGATCACCAGTTTATCGGTTGAAAACACAACTTATTTTTTGAAGACCAACTTTTGATTTTGAAAACACAACTTATTTTTTGAAGACCAACTTTTGATACCCAACCGCAATCCAATGTCTTTGTTGTTCGCGGGCTCAGTCATTATATTTTCAAAATGGAGGAAGAAGACAAACAATACTTGCTACAGGCAATTTTTGATGTGATAAATTCCATCGACCGTTTTTCACAGTCTCGAGACGCTAATGTAGACTACCAAGAGCTTATGCTGAAACTTGATTTTTTACAACGGTTACTAGTAAATATGAATCTTGATGATTCGATATGTGCAAATGTTGGAGAGGCATATAATATTCTTTTCAATATGGAACAAATGGAACACCAATCCAGACAAGAACTCCAAACGCGAAGTGAAAAAAATAATGCTGCTAGACAAGTTTCTCGAGCAAGTCGTGGCCGACCCTCGTACGATATAAAAGAAGAACAATTATCGTTTCTTCTTGAAAAGGGGTTCAAGGTTTCCGAAATCAGCAAAATAATCGGGGTCAGTAAACGGACAATTGAGAGGAGAATGGCGTTTTTTGGACACTCTGTATCAGGTACTTCGTGCTATTCACGATCAAAGGCTAGTGCAACCTCGTCCCAAGAGCAAAGAGCCTGGGAACGAGGTTGAGGCTAGTGTATAGAATCAGGGCCGTTCAGGGGGGGGGGGCAAAGGGGGCAATTTGCCTCAGGCTCAAGGAAGGGAGAAATAAATTAAAGATGTTATAAAAATCTATAAAATATTATTAAATAGCTATAGATACTTAGATAGATTGCTATTATTAACTGTGATAATAATCCCAATGGGAGAGGGGCCCCCAGTTGATTCTTGCACCGGCCCCCCAAATTTCTCTGAACAGCACGGTATAGAATACCTGATCACTTCTGAGGAGTCATAGAATACAAGGGCACTTACAAGTTACAACAAATTTACAGCGAGTTTGTAGGAGTGGGGAGGTTAGAAAGGAAATTTATAGAGTGTAGTCTTTTTGTATTCAGTAGTTCAAAGTAATGTATAAAAATTCATGTAAAATACACAATAAAAACTTTACTAAGATTTCTTATCCCAGATTTAATATCAACTTAGCCTGGCTTGTCTATTTAGGTAAGGGTTATTGTTATGTATAGGATTAGAGTAAAGGTTAGGGTAGAATAGGGTTATGATTATGATAAGGGTTGTGTCAAGGTAATGGTTACTGTAGGTTTAGGGTAAGGATTAAGTTAGGGATTGGAGGATTAGATTAATTGCATAATTATTTTCACTTCATATTACGAATATATATGGCCTTTTTCTTGATCAGGGATTTCCAAAAATATGTGACAGAAATCACTATACTAAGAATGAAGAAAAAATGGCTAAATTGAGAAACGGTTAATTAACCATTGTTACTATTACTTAGGTATGTTCAGTAATATTGGAGATGATGAACTGGATGATCTTGTGAGGGAAGCTTCAAATAGCCATCCCAACTTTGGTTTGAGAATGATGAAAGGATATCTTCAAAGTAAAGGTGTTCGTGTCCAGCGTAAGCGAATACGATATTCTCTTTTGCGAATTGATCCTATTGGTTTAATGCAACGCTGGAAGATGGCCATCAAAAGGCGGACTTACAATGTGAAATATCCACTCTCTCTGTGGCATATTGATGGAAACCACAAGCTTATTAAGTAAGCATCTTGCTAGCTAATAAGAAGGCAACTAGTGTTGTGATTTAAAATCTTTTTTATCCATACTAAAGGCTTGTAATTATATTGCTTACCAGTTGGCGAATTGTAATCCACGGAGGAGTAGATGGTTATTCTAGGATGCCAGTATATTTGAAAGCATCAGACAACAACCGTGCTGAAACTGTCTTGCGGGAATTTCTGCAAAGCGTGGAAGAGTTTGGACTTCCATCGCGTGTCCGCTCTGATAAAGGCGGCGAAAATGTCGATGTTGCAGCCTATATGCTTTCTCATCCCCAACGTGGTCCTGGTAGAGGTAGTATGATTACAGGTTTGTAATTGTTAGTGAACATAGTCAGTACTGCTTGTACTTTTCAGTATTTTCCTCAAAGCAATTTTGAAATTTTCAAGTTATCCTCCTTTTTGCTTTTTTACGTGTTATTGTATTTTTTACCAGGTAAAAGTACACATAACCAACGAATTGAGCGGTTGTGGCGAGATGTATTCAGTGGTTGTCTCAGTCTATTTTATGGCCTTTTTTTGACAATGGAGGAAGAAGGGATTCTTGACCGAGAAAATGACACACATATATGGTGCCTGCATTATGTCTTTTTGCCCATAATTAATGAACATATTCGCAATTGGAGAGATGCGTGGATTCTTCATCCAATCCGGACAGAGAGAAACAAGACGCCATTTCAACTTTGGGTTATTGGGCTTGAACATGCCAGAACAGTGGAAGCAAATAGGATCATAGAAACATTGCAGGTATGTATGGATCGTTGGGTCGTACTTATGCAAGCTCTATTTAGAGGAACTGTTTAATTTATTCATAACCTTTTTTAGTTCTAGTTTTTTTTTTAAACTAATTTTTCTTTAGGAGCCTGTTGAGTATTATGGTATTGATTGGGCTGGACCAATTCCTGACCAAATGCCAGAGCAAGTGGATGTTCCAAGTGTAGAATGTCCATTCGATGAAGAGCAGTTACGTAATTTGCCAGAAAATACTTGCCATACTCATCAACAAGGCATCGAATTGTTTCTGCAAATTCTTGAGTTGCTTTAATTACATGAGTGAGAGCTATTGTTAAATGCTAGTTAATACCAAACATTTAAATTAAAAAAGAAAGCTATAACTTCAGCTTTTCAACAACAAATTTTAAAACATCTTCTTTTTTTTATATAATGTCTATTTCATATGTATAAGTATAACAAAACTATTCCTTAAATTTGAATAACAACTAAACCGGATTGAACATTTGGACCTTTCACCTCGTGCATCCTAATAACGTACAGTTAGTTGAAGACAAACCCTGTAGCTCCAAATTTCAGGGCTATGTCCACATTTCTTTTAAACATCTCATATTCTGTGTGCTTTGTTGGCAGGATTATAGCCTTGAAACATGTTTCGGACAGTGGGAAGAGATTTGTCTTGCTATCATCAAACCTCACCAAAAGAGATTTGGGTCTGTGTTGAAGCACATTGGAAGCTGTCCAAAAATGGACCAAGTCGACCAAAGTAACTCCATCTAAAAAAAATACAATGTAACATCGGTGCTTCACAATCAGACTAACGTCAATTTACACAAGTAATTAGTATTATAAATAATAACATGACTTGCGGGAAAGTAGCGATTATACATAGCCCGCCGCTGAGGGAGGACTTGCGACTTTTACAAATCTTCCCAAGACGAAGTGCAATTATTTAATCGCTAATTTCCTGATGAGTTATGTTTACTTATCGTTTTCCAATATCATGATCGCAGAGGAAAAGTGTGAAAACTATGCTGACTAAGTTTATAGGTGTTTGATTTTGTATGATTCAGTGAACTTGTTTCCAAGTTTACAAGTATTAATGGTGGGAAATGCTTTGGGAAATGCTTTGTGACTGTCACTCAAGGTTATTTAAACCACTTTATTGAATTCAGGTTAAACGATCCGCATATATTGGATGTACAAGTAGGAAATTTAGTAAAAGGACAAAAGATTGCTTTGTTTACTGATTTTTCCCTGCATGCTTGAAGACGGAAATTAGCAGACAATAAATCATTGTTTTCTACTAAATTTCCCGGGGGATATTAGAAGACAAAGGTAAAAATACGGGATTTATTCCCTTTGAGAACAAAGGAATTCGGGGGCGATTATGATAATCCGTGGACCTTAGGGTCATTCATTTTTTTCCAAAACAAAAAAATTTTCAATTTTTAAATCAGTAGAATGGTCATTCATTTACAACTTTAAGTTGCTGATCGTATTGTAGTTGGAAATGTATATTTTTTACCGTTTATAACCAAGCAATTTTGAACCGGCATTCAAACTTTGAATTAAATGGGTATATATTATCCTCTCACCTGCTTGTCTTTGGTTGATTTCCCTTATATAGCGAAGAAAAAAATCAGCGGCAACGTTATTTGCTTCACAGCTGTCATCTTCCCCTTCATAAATGATGTACTCTATCACCTCTTGAGCTTCAATACGTCGTTGTTGCTCATCAGGAAACACAATCTTGGTTAATGCGGGGCATTTCTTGAGAAATGAAGTAAGGGACACTTCGTTCATTCCTAAAGAAATTAAAATATACTTGCTACAAACTACAGTAACTCAGTTAACTGTCTTATTCGTCAGAAATAATGAACACATACCCTTGCCTATGTCAAGTATCTGTAATATTCTCTTGTCAATTACGTGGTACATCATCAGCTCTTCAATGACCAATCTGCGCTCGTTAATAAATCGATCTGGATCTATGCCTGCCTCCAACAGATATGGCATTAGCTCTTCTCTTTCTGAAATCTTCTGTTGTCCCTCACATACATTAGATTGTGTTGCGCTCAACTAAAAATGTTAGTTTTTTTTAACAGTTTTAGTGACCACAATATAATTGATAAATTTAATTCCGCCTAGTCGCAATTTGAGTGCTGTATCATATTGGACGGTGAATAGTCGTGCAATGGATAATAAGAAAATTAAAATATATGTACATCGCATCAGGGACGTACGCAGGATTTTTTTCACCAGGGGGTGCAGTAAAGCTTATGAGTCGGAAAAAGTCACAAATATCCAAAGTATTGATTAACCCATTAAGCTGCATAGCTTCCCCATTGACAAGTAAAATAGTCTGGCGTTAGACAAGTAGAAACAAAACAAGTAGGGCGCATTGCGGCTCAATGGGTTAATAATGACATTCTAGAAATGGTAAATATAGTTTTCTCTGGGGGCAGTTGCTCTGGGGGAAGTTGCCCCCCCCCCCCATGCTGTGTGCGACCCTGCATCAAATGAATATATGTACTCACAAGATTATTTACCATCTGCCGTAAGTCGATATCAGGAATATCTTCAGGAACCAAAGTTGGTGGTTCTTCAGATTCCTCATCACATGACAAAACATGCTTAACAGCTGGCGACAGTCCATGAAGACCTGGACCCCCGTGTAAGATACTGTGACCTATGATTCTTCCTAATGCTTTAAACGTGCCAGTCAACCGAAGGGACTGATCATGTACTGGTAGTCTATGATCTGGCTGACCTTCAAAGAAAAGCAGTGGTTTTGACTTTCCAGAAGTTGAAGGAATGCCTTCGTCAGCGACTTGTACAGCCAGCACCAAAAATTCTCTTACCGGTCCACTCCCAACTGCATCTTCTTCTTCGAACCTTACCTTTGGAATGGCACGCAACTTCAAATCTGGTTTCTTATAGACACTGATTATGTCTCGATTCAATTCACCCATGCCATCAACTCGACACACATTAAAGCGCTGTTTTGGGAGATCCTCATTAATTGTTTGCTTCTGGTATTCCAAAATAGCATCCTCTGGTGACAAGTCAGACAAAGATGAACAATTGACATCACTCACTGATAATACTGATTGTTCAAGAATTTCACGGCCATTGCCAGTATCATCAATAGGACTGTCTATTAAGTTAATGAATTTTACATGAAACGAAGATACACACTACATCCATGATACAAATTTGGATCTAATTTTCTGTTATGGGGATGTTGTAAAATTACAAGTACATATTGGAAAATACTGTTATCAACATTAAATTAAATGTAATTTACCTAAAAGTTGCCTAACAGCTTCATTTGCATCATTGTTGCACTCATTCAATGCAAGTTTGATATCTGATGTGCTGGTACTGGGGAATATTTCATTTAATAGTTCTATATCACCATCCTGACCATTGCCATTATGATTTATCTCTGGAATCTCAGACTCTGAATCACTAATAAAAAAGACATATATAAAATCAAGATTTAAATTAAGCAATATGTAGAAATGACCTATGCAGTATATCCCCTTCTAGACACTCCGCATACAGAGCTGTAGCTACAATCTTGGACATAACTGGTTGAGACTATTTTCCCCCTATAGAAAATTCGCGTATTTTTATGATAAACTCCATGTTGAATCATGTTGCCATTCTTAAACCCCCGCTCCCCCAACTCAATGTTAAGCTTGTATCATGGTATATTACCAAAAGTTGTTTCGGCATTGTTCACAACATTGAACTGGGGGGGGGAGGGGGAGACAAAGTTTGTTTTGTCAATGTTCAATAACTTTGTAATATTAGCTGGAATGGTCTCAAGGGTTTTGTCCAAGATTGTAGCATGTATAGTTGGGGTGTTGGCCGAAAATTGCCGAATGACGAAAAAAATTTCCAAATATTTCATGGCATACGAAGCCACAAAGGCGTACAGACATATTACAGTAGCTGAGTAGCATGCAGTGATTGGGGGCTGAGAACGAGGGCGGAATGCCTGTGGAAATTTTAAAATTTAGAGTCTCTGAAATGTCATTCCCTGGATTTTGGGGGTAAGTTTTGACAGAATTCTGATGGTCAGAAAACAGCGTTTTAGTATGTCAAAATTTACAAATTGTTTTCATGCAATTTAGTAGTACTAAATGGGCGAATGCGTATTTAATTAACTATATATTGGAGAAGTTGCAGGAAAGTATGGGTAATATGATTTTTTGCAGTTTGTCACAGATAATGTAGCCGCTTAAAATTAATCAATTGTCAGTATTTTAAAGGTATATGATTTAAATGATAAAGGTCTGCACGATTTTGAAAAAAAGAATAATGCATTCCCCCAGGCCCCCCCCCCACCCCGGTTACTACGGCCATGAGAAGTAATAAATCGAAAAATATTTACCGATTTACGATTTGTTAAATGTTAATTTAACAACTAAAATTTTGTCATGCTATTATTTCCGTAATTTTCCGAATGGCCAACCCGATTTTCCGAATATGTTAATTCTGAAAAAATTGGGGGAGTTAACCACCCCCCCCCCCAATACCCCCCTTGCTACGGCCCTGTCCGCATACCAAACATTATTGCAACAATTATGAATGCGCAATGATGTGATAAACATTCTGGTAAACCAGTCTACTTGTACTAACCTGGAAAAGGCATTTGAAATTTTCTTTTTCTTAAAAAAAATATCAATCTTTTATTGGTAAAATTTCAACCACTACTTTCAATTTCATGATAATTTATGTAATTGTAAACATAATACATATATACCTTAACTTCTGGAGAAACAAACTCCTTGCTAGGGTGTGTTTTCTGATGCTCTTTCATTTTAGCCATATGGACAACTTCACCACAAGTATAGCATGAAACAACAGGCTCACCCCAATTTACCTATACGGTAGTCAAATAATTGCCTGGCATGATAAATCAAGGGCGTAGGAAGATCTTAAATATTGGTGGAGGAGGAGATAGGTGTTTCCAAAGAGCCCACCCAGATGGGGTCTGGGGCATGCCTCCCCAGAAAATTTTGAAATTCCATCCTTACAAAATCACATTTTCAGTAATTTATGTCTAAAAACATTTTTCTTTGGGTGGGTGGGGGTGCATGGGTGGGGGTGCATGGGTGGGGGTGCATGGGTAGGGGTGCATGGGTGGGAGGGGGCAAAACATATTTCCCCAGTATATTTAACATGGGGGGACAGGGGGAGCTGTGTTCAATGCAAGATAACATAAGAGAGTTCATGACAGTAACAATAAGGAATATAAAAAACATGCATCAAGAAACTATTGTAAAACAATTTAAAATTTTGCTTGTTGAATTTGTAGGGATTCAGGAAAGTTTGATCATATTTCCCCATTGTTAATTTAGAATGCTTTATTGGAGAAATTTAAAAATACTTATTGAATTTCTATTTATAAGGAAAAATAGTAAATAAATGTTATAATTGTTATGTGCTACATTTGAATACTGAAATTGGCGAATTTCTGCTTGAGAGATTTCAGGTTGCAAGCGCCTGCTTGCTATTTTGTGTAAAATATAATTGGCACTGATTTTTACGATCATTTATTGGGACAAAATAAGTAAATATACGTAGTTGAATACATTACATAAAACACTATTTATATATAGTAAAGCCTGTTGGGCCCCTGCTTTCAAGGTTCTTTTCAGGGCCTCCTTTATAGTGAGCTTATAGTAAAGCCAAGATAGCCCGGACCCTTCTGAGGGAACCAACTGACCCCTATACACCAAGTACCAAAAGTGCATAATCAATAAATTCAGAAACAGTGTTATCACATGGCAATCTTACAAAATCTAAAAAATAGTTCTGGGAATCAGAACTTGTCCATCTGGTAGTTTTGTGAGGAAAAGTGGTGAATGCAGGTAGGTCACTCTGTAATGGTAGTTATAAAAGCAACATATATATGAAATAATATATCACACATATACCTCATTTTCCTCTTCTGGAATTTCATCATCAAAGGAATCAAGAGGGATGTTTCTTTGCAAAGGCCTTACATATATTTTTGCTTTGCCACAGACATCCTTCAGTCGCAAACTGCAGAGCGGGGGCTTGATTGTATGAAATCCTCCATTCTCCCCGCCTCCTCTCTGGTGCAATAACAGTTCATAACCGCCTGTATCACTGAGTTTGGGAAAGGTTTTCAGAACTTCTTCATGAAGATATACACTGCTATCATTCAGCTCCAAGAGTATTGTAGTATCACCAAGTCCTGCATTACAAAGATCAGTTTTTTCTTTCACAGATAAAGGAGGGCAGTTGGTTGTGCTATCCGCAAGACAAACAAATTTAAACTTTGTTGCAGGTTGCTTTCCCTTGCCCTTCGTACTTTGTTTGCCTTTGCTTTTGGTAACTAAATGACGAGTTTTCCCAAAGTTGAAAAGTCGCCTGTGCTCACTTGCAGCATTGGAGGCAGTACTGGAAGAACTGCTTGTTGTTGCTTCACTCTCAGGTGGTCTGCTACTTGTTGTCTCTATTTTTAAGTGAATACATCAAGAATTTATCATAAATTGACCATTATAATGCTACTTTTTTATTAGGGTTGCATGATAATTTGTAAACTAGCAATAAACTGTAAAGTTTGAGAGAAAAATAATGACCTAATTTAAATAATCGCTCCTGACTATTAAATATATATCAGTCCTCCCAATACAAAATTGCTTCCTACAGTATAGTGCAGGAAAAAATCGCAACTAAAATTGCAACAAGTGCCAACAATACAACAACTTTAATACTGTGTAATGTAGAAAATGGAGGGGTATTCTGCAATCTAACCTGATCAAAAGTCAAATACGAGCCGCCAACACCATATCATATTAAAATCATAATTAACTATTTATATAATACATATCATGTACATTGTACAGTATATGAATAATTCATGTTCTTGAATTTACATATTAAAGCGGGCCAGCCTGTACAAAATGGATAAGGAAAATAAAACACTGAATATATAAAAAGTTTAATTACTTTAGTACTTTACCTGATGAAGATTTGTTGCTCCCTAAGGCCGATATTTGGTCAGCAACCTTCAGAAGTGTCGCTCTAACCTGATTCAACTCCGCCATTGTTTGATAAACATGTGTTTCAGACAGAGATGATTTTAGCGGGAAATCACGGCAATATGAGCCCGCGAACAAAAAAGACATTGGATTGCGGTTGGGTATCAAAAGTTGGTCTTCAAAAAATAAGTTGTGTTTTCGGCCGATAAACTGGTGATCTTCAAAAACAATGTTGTTATTTTAATAAAATGAATATGATCCTCAAAATATGATATGGTGAAATGCAAAAGTTGATTTTTGGCGGACATGGGACACCATAGAATATCGACATCATAAACACCAAAGTTGATCGTGTTTATAACGTCGACGTCATAAACACCTAAGTTGATCGTGTTTATGACGTCGAATATCGACATCATAAACACCAAAGTTGATCGTGTTTATAACGTCGACGTCATAAACACCAAAGTTGATCGTGTTTATGACGTCGAATATCGACGTCAAAAACACCAAAGTTGATCGTGTTGATGACGTCGAATATCGATGTCATAAACAACAAAGTTGATCGTGTTTAGAACGTCCACGTCATGAACACCAACTTTGATCGTGTTTATGACGTCGAATACCGACGTCATAATCACCAAAGTTGATCGTGTTTATAACGTCGACGTAATAAATACCAAAGTTGATCGTGTTTATGACGTCGATTATCAACGTCATAAACACCAAAGTTGATCGTGTTTATGACGTCGAATATCGACGTCATAAACACCAAAGTTGATCGTGTTGATGACGTCGAATATCGATGTCATAAACAACAAAGTTGATCGTGTTTAGAACGTCCACGTCATGAACACCAACGTTGATCGTGTTTATGACTTCGAATATCGACGTCAAAAACATCTAAGTTGATCGAATATCGACGTCATAAACACCAAAGTTCATCAACTTATGACGTCGACGTCAGAAGCACCAAAGTTGATCGTGTTTATGACGTCGAATATCGACGTCATAAACATCTAAGTTGATCGTGTCTATGACGTCGAATATCGACGAACTTTCAAAAAAATATTCATTTTTTCCAGCCAAAGTTGTCCACCAAAATTGAACGTGTTTCTGACGTCGAATGTCGACGTCATAAACACCTAACTTGATCGTGTTTATGACGTCGAATATCGACGTCATAAACACCTAAGGTGATCGTACTTATGACGTCGAAAATCGACGTCATAAACACCTAAGATGAACGTGCTTATGACGTCGAATATCGACGTCATAAACACCAAAGTTGATCGTGTTTGTGAGGTCGACGTCATAAACACCAAAGTTTATCGTGTTTATGACGTCGAATATCGACGTCATAAACACCAAAGTTGATCGTGTTTATAACGTCCACGTCATAAACACCAAAGTTGATCGTGTTTATGACGTCGAAAATCGAGCTCATAAACAACAAAGTTGATCGTGTTTATAACGTCGACGTCACAAACACCAACGTTGACCGTGTTTATGACGTCGATATTCGACGTCATAAACACGAAAGTTAATCGTGTTGATGACGTCGAATATCGATGTCATAAACACCAAAGTTGATCGTGTTTATTACGTCGATGTCAGAAATACCAAAGTTGATCGTGTTTATGACGTCGAATATCGACGTCATAAACACCAAAGTTGATCGTGTTTATGACGTCGAATATCGACGTCATTAACACCTACGTAGATCGTCCTATGACTTCGAATATCGACGTCATAAACACCTAAGTTGATCGTGTTTATGTATCGACGTCATAAACACCGAAGTTGTTCGCGTTAATGACGTCCAATATCGACGTCATAAACGCCAAAGTTGATCGTGTTTATGACGTCGAATATCGCCGTTATATATAATCACCAAAGTTGATCGTGTTTATGACGTCGAATATCGAGGTCATAAACACCAAAGTTGATCGTGTTTATAACGTCGACGTCATAGACACCAAAGTTGATCGTGTTTACGACGTCGAATATCGACGTTATATATAATCACCAAAGTTGATCGTGTTTATGACGTCGAATATCGAGGTCATAAACACGAAAGTTGATCGTGTTTATAACGTCGACGTCATAAACACCAAAGTTGATCCTGTTGATGACGTCGAATATCGATGTCATAAACAACAAAGTTGATCGTGTTTAGAACGTCCACGTCATGAACACCAACGTTGATCGTGTTTATGATGTCGAATACCGACGACATAAACACCAAAGTTGATCGTGTTTATAACGTCCACGTCATAAATACCAAAGTTGATCGTGTTTATGACGTCGAATATCAACGTCATAAACACCTAAGTTGATCGTGTTTATGACGTCGAATATCAACGTCATAAACATCTAAGTTGATCGAATATCGACGTCATTAACACCAAAGTTGATCAACTTATGACGTCGACGTCAGAAGCACCAAAGTTGATCGTGTTTATGACGTCGAGTATCGACGTCATAAACATCTAAGGTGATCGTGGCTATGACGTCGAATATCGACGAACTTTCAAAAAAATTTTCATTTTTTCCAGCCAAAGTTACCCACCAAAATTGAACGTGTTTATGACGTCGAATGTCGACGTCATAAACACCTAACTTGATCGTGTTTATGACGTCGAATATCGACGTCATAAACACCTAAGGTGATCGTGTTTATGACGTCAAATATCGACGTCATAAACACCTAAGTTTAACGTGCTCATGACGTCGAATATCGAGGTCATAAACACGAAAGTTGATCGTGTTTATAACGTCGACGTCATAAACACCAAAGTTGATCGTGTTGATGACGTCGAATATCGATGTCATAAACAACAAAGTTGATCGTGTTTAGAACGTCCACGTCATGAACACCAACGTTGATCGTGTTTATGATGTCGAATACCGACGACATAAACACCAAAGTTGATCGTGTTTATAACGTCCACGTCATAAATACCAAAGTTGATCGTGTTTATGACGTCGAATATCAACGTCATAAACACCTAAGTTGATCGTGTTTATGACGTCGAATATCAACGTCATAAACATCTAAGTTGATCGAATATCGACGTCATTAACACCAAAGTTGATCAACTTATGACGTCGACGTCAGAAGCACCAAAGTTGATCGTGTTTATGACGTCGAGTATCGACGTCATAAACATCTAAGGTGATCGTGGCTATGACGTCGAATATCGACGAACTTTCAAAAAAATTTTCATTTTTTCCAGCCAAAGTTACTCACCAAAACTGAACGTGTTTACGACGTCGAATGTCGACGTCATAAACACGTAACTTGATCGTGTTTATGACGTCGAATATCGACGTCATAAACACCTAAGGTGATCGTGTTTATGACGTCAAATATCGACGTCATAAACACCTAAGTTTAACGTGCTCATGACGTCGAATATCGACGTCATAAACACCTAAGTTGATCGTGTTTATAAACACCAAAGTTGATCGTGTTTGTGACGTCGACGTCATAAACACCAAAGTTTATCGTGTTTATGACGTCGAATATCGACGTCATAAACACCAAAGTTGATCGTGTTTATAACGTCGACGTCATAAACACATAAGTTGATCGTGTTTATCACGTCGAAAATCGAGGTCATAAACATCAAAGTTGATCGTGTTTATAACGTCGACGTCACAAACACCAATGTTGACCGTGTTTATGACGTCTAATATCGACGTCATAAACACCAAAGTTAATCTTGTTGATGACGTCGAATATCGATGTCATAAACACCAAAGTTGATCGTGTTTATAACGTCGATGTCATAAATACCAAAGTTGATCGTGTTTATGACGTCGAATATCGACGTCATAAACACCAAAGTTGATCGTGTTTATGACGTCGAATATCGACGTCATAAACACCAAAGTTGATCGTGTTTATGACGTCGAATATCGACGTCATAAACACCAAAGTTGATGGTGTTTATTGCGTCGAATATCGACGTCATAAACACCAAAGTTGATCGTGTTGATGACCTGCAATATGGACGTCATTAACACCAAAGTTGATCGTGTTTATGACGTCGAATATCGACGTCATAAACGCCAAAGTTGATCGTGTTTATGACGTCGAAAATCGACGTCATAAACACCAATGTTGATCCTGTTTATGACGTCGAATATCGACGTCATAAACACCAAAGTTGATCGTGTTTATGACGTCGAATATCAACGTCATAAACACCAAAGTTGATCGTGTTTAAGACGGCGAATATCGTCGTCATAAACACCAAAGTTGATCGTGTTGACAACGTCGAATATCGACGTCATAAACAGCAAAGTTGATGGTGTTTATGATGTCGAATATCGACGTCATAAATACCAAAGTTGATCGTGTTTATGACGTCGAATATATCGACGTCCTAAACACCAAAGTTGATCGTGTTTAAGACGTCGAATATCGTCGTCATAAACACTAAGTTTATCGCGTTAATGACGTCGAATATCGACGATATTCGACGTCATAAACACGATCAACTTTGGTATTATAATACCCCTTTTTCTCGGGTAACGCACTTTCTGTTGCGCAAAAAAATTTCATTTTTTTTCCAACCTCGGAATTTTCAAAAAAATTTTCCTTTTTTTTCCAACCTCGAAATATTCAATAAAATTTTCATTTTTTTTTGCTTCGTCAAAACTTTCAAAAAAATTTTCATTTTTTTCCAACCTCGGAATTTTCAAAAAATATTGTCATTTTTATGATGTCGAATTTATCGCGTTTATGATGTCGAATATCGACGTCATCAACACCAAAGTTGATCGTGTTTATGAAGTCGAATATAGACTTCGTAAACACCAAAGTTGATCGTATTTATGACGTCGAATATCGACGTCATAAACACCAAAGTTGATCGTGTTTATGACGTCGAATATCGACGTCATAAATACCAAAGTTGATCGTGCTAATGACGTCGAATACGTGTTTATGATGTCGAATATCGTCGACCAACTTGTCGACCAACTTCGGTGGTTATGATATCGATGTCATTATCACCAAAGTTGATCGCGTTTATGATATCGAATATCGACGTCATAAACACCAAAGTTGATCGTGTTTATGACGTCGAATATCGACGTCATAAACAACAAAGTTGGTCGTGTTTATGACGTCGAATATCGACGTCATAAATACCAAAGTTGATCGTGTTTATGACGTCGAATATATCGACGTCCTAAACACCAAAGTTGATCGTGTTTAGGACGTGGAATATCGTCGTCTTAAACACAAAGTTTATCGTGTTTATGACGTCGAATATCGACGATATTCGACGTCATAAACACGATCAACTTTGGTATTATAATACCCCTTTTTCTAGGGTAACCCACTTTCTGTTGCGCAAAAAAATTTCATTTTTTTTCCAACCTCGGAATTTTCAAAAAAATTTTCATTTTTTTTCCAACCTCGAAATATTCAATAAAATTTTCATTTTTTTTGCTGCGTCGGAACTTTCAAAAAAATTTTCATTTTTTTCCCACCTCGGGATTTTCAAAAAAAATTTTCATTTTTTTCCGACCTCCGAATTTTGAAAAAAATTTCATTTTTTTCCCAACCTCGGAATTTTCAAAAAAAAATTCACTTTTTTTCCACGGAATTCGAAAAAAAAATTTCATTTTTTTTCCAACCAAACTTACCCACCAATGTTTAATGGGTTTATGACGTCGAATATCGACGTCATCAACACCAAAGTTGTTCGTGTTTAAAACATCGAATATCGACGTCATAAACACCCAAGTTGATCGTGTTTATGACGTCGAATATGGACGTCATCAACAGTGAAAAAAATTAAAATGAAAATTTTTTCAAAATTCCGAGTTTGGAAAAAAAAAATGAAATTTTTTTCAAAATTCCGAGGTTGGAAAAAAATTAAAAATTTTTTCAAAATTCCGATATTGGAAAAAAAAATGAAAATTTTATCGAAATTCGAGGTTGGCAAAAAAATGAAAATTTTTTCAAAATTCCGACGTTGGAAAAAACAATGAAAATTTTTTCAAAATTCCAGCGTTGGAAAAAAAAAATTAAAATTTTTTCAAAATCCCGAGGTTGGAAAAAAAAATGAATATTTTTTCAAAATTCCGTGGTTGGAAAAAAAAAATGAAAATTTTTTAAAATTCCAAGGTTGGAAAAAAAAATGAAATGTTTCTCAAAATTCCGAGGTTGGAAAAAAAAATGAAAATTTTTTCAAAATTCCGAGGTTGGAAAAAAAAATGAAATTTTTTTCAAAATTCCGAGGCTGGAAAAAAAAATGAAAATTTTTTCAAAATTCCGAGGTTGGAAAAAAAAATGAAATTTTTTTCAAAATTCCGAGGTTGGAAAAAAAAATGAAAATTTTTTCAAAATTCCGAGGTTGGAAAAAAAAATGAAATTTTTTTCAAAATTCCGAGGTTGAAGAAAAGAAATGAATTTTTTTCCAAATTCCGAGGTTGGAAAAAAAATGAAAATTTTATCAAAATTTCGAGGTTGGAAAGTTTTCAGCTCGATTGGTTCTATAGCTCGTGAGATATGACAAAATGTTGGAAAAAACTTATTTTTGCACATTGCTGCAAATAGTGCTATTCGGTCAAACGCAACCTGCTGAACACAACGCGCCGAGTTTCAGCTCGATTGGTTCAATAGTTCGTGAGATATGACAAAATGTTGGAAAAAACTTATTTTTGCACATTGCTGCAAATAGTGCTATTCGGTCAAACGCAACCTGCTGAACACAACGCGCAGGGTTTCAGCTCGATTGGTTCAATAGTTCGCGAGATATGACAAAATGTTGGAAAAAACTTATTTTTGCACATTGCTGCAAATAGTGCTATTCGGTCAAACGCAACCTGCTGAGCACAACGCGCAGAGTTTCAGCTCGATTGGTTCAATAGTTCGTGAGATATGGCAAAATGTTGGAAAAAACTTATTTTTGCACAAAGCTGCAAATAGTGCTATTCGGTCAAACGCAACCTGCTGAGCACAACGCGCCGAGTGTCAGCTCGATTGGTTCAATAGTTCGTGAGATATGACAAAATGTTGGAAAAAACTTATTTTTGCACATTGCAGCAAATAGTGCCATTCGATCAAACGCAACCTGCTGAGCACAACGCGCTGAGTTTCAGCTCGATTGGTTCAATAGTTCGTCAGATATGACAAAATGTTGGAAAAAACTTATTTTTGCACATTGCAGCAAATAGTGCTATTCGATCAAACACAACCTGCTGAGCACAACGCGCTGAGTTTCAGCTCGATTGGTTCAATAGTTCGTGAGATATGACAAAATGTTGGAAAAAACCTATTTTTGCACAATGCAGCAAATAGTGCTATTCGGTCAAAGCAACCTGCTGAGCACAACGCGCTGAGTTCAGCTCGATTGCTTCAATAGTTCGTGAGATATGACAAAATGTTGGAAAAAACTTATTTTTGCACATTGCTGCAAATAGTGCTATTCGGTCAAACGCAACCTGCTGAAGACAACGCGCCGGGTTTCAGCTCGATTGGTTCAATAGTTCGCGAGATATGACAAAATGTTGGAAAAAAATTATTTTTGCACATTGCTGCAAATAGTGCTATTCGGTCAAACGCAACCTGCTGAGCACAACGCGCTGAGTTTCTGCTAGATTGGTTCAATAGTTCGTGAGATATGACAAAATGTTGGAAAAAACTTATTTTGCACATTGCTGCAAATAGTGCTATTCGGTCAAACGCAACCTGCTGAGCACAACGCGCTGAGTTTCAGCTCGATTGGTTCAATAGTTCGTGAGATATAAACAAAATGTTGGAAAAAACTTATTTTTGCACATTGCTGCAAATAGTGCTATTCGGTCAAACGCAACCTGCTGAGCACAACGCGCCGAGTGTCAGCTCGATTGGGTCAATAGTTCGTGAGATATGACAAAATGTTGGAAAAAACTTATTTTTGCACATTGCTGCAAAATAGTGCTATTCGGTCAAACGGAACCTGCTGAGCACAACGCGCCGAGTTTCAGCTCGATTGGTTCAATAGTTCGTGAGATATGACAAAATGTTGGAAAAAACTTATTTTTGCACATTGCAGCAAATAGTGCTATTCGGTCAAACGCAAACTGCTGAGCACAACGCCCTGAGTTTCAGCTCGATTGGTTCAATTGTCCGTGAGGTATGACAAAATGTTGGAAAAAACTTATTTTGCGCATTGCAGCAAATAGTGCTATTCGGTCAAACGCAAACTGCTGAGCACAACGCGCTGAGTTTCAGCTCGATTGGTTCAATAGTTCGTGAGATATGACAAAATGTGGAAAAAACTTATTTTTGCACATTGCAGCAAATAGTGCTATTCGATCAAACGCAACCTGCTGAGCACAACGCGCTGAGTTTCAGCTCGATTGGTTCAATAGTTCGTGAGATATGGCAAAATGTTGGAAAAAACTTATTTTTGCACATTGCAGCAAATAGTGCTATTCGATCAAACGCAACTTGCTGAGCACAACGCACTGAGTTTCAGCTCGAATGGTTCAATAGTTCGTGAGATATGACAAAATGTTGGAAAAAACTTATTTTTGCACATTGCAGCAAATAGTGCTATTCGGTCAAACGCAACCTGCTGAGCACAACGCGCTGAGTTTCAGCTCGAATTGGTTCAATAGTTCGTGAGATATGACAAAATGTTGGAAAAAACTTATTTTTGCACATTGCAGCAAATAGTGCTATTCCGTCAAGCGCAACCTGCTGAACACAACGCGCTGAGTTTCAGCTCGAATGGTTCAATAGTTCGTGAGATATGACAAAATGTTGGAAAAAACTTATTTTTGCACATTGCAGCAAATAGTGCTATTCGGTCAAACGCAACCTGCTGAGGACAACGCGCTGAGTTTCAGCTCGATTGGTTCAAAAGTTCGTGATATATGACAAAATGTTGGAAAAAACATATTTTTGCACATTGCAGCAAATAGTGCTATTCGGTCAAACGCAACCTGCTGAGCACAACGCGCTGAGTTTCAGCTCGATTAGTTCAATAGTTCGTGAGATATGACAAAATGTTGGAAAAAACTTATTTTTTGCACATTGCAGGAAATAGTGCTATTCGGTCAAACGCAACCGGCTGAGCACAACGCGCTGAGTTTCAGCTCGATGGCTTCAATAGTTCGTGAGATATGACAAAATGTTGGAAAAAACTTATTTTTGCACATTGCTGCAAATAGTGCTATTCGGTCAAACGCAGACTGCTGAACACAACCGCTGAGTTTCAGCACGATTGGTTCAATAGTTCGTGAGATATGACAAAATGTTAGAAAAAACTTATTTTTGCACATTGCAGCAAATAGTGCTATTCGGTCAAACGCAACCTGCTGAGCACAACGCGCTGAGTTTCAGCTCGATTGGTTTAATAGTTCGTGAGATATCACAAAATGTTGGAAAAACTTATTTTTGCACGTTGCAGCAAATAGTGCTATTCTGTCAAGCGCAACCTGCTGAGCACAGCGCGCTGAGTTTCAGCTCGATTGGTTCAATAGTTCGTGAGATATGACAAAATGTTGGAAAAAACTTATTTTTGCACATTGCAGCAAATAGTGCTTTTCGGTAGCGCAACCTGCTGAACACAACGCGCTGACTTTCAGCTCGATTGGTTCAATCGTGAGATATGACAAAATACTGGAAAAAACTTATTTTTGCACATTGCAGCAAATAGTGCTATTCGGTCAAACGCAACCTGCTGAGCACAACGCGGTGAGTTTCAGCTCGATTGGTTCAATAGTTCGTGAGATATGACAAAATGTTGGAAAAAAATTATTTTTGCACATTGCAGCAAATAGTGCTATTCGGTCAAACGCAACCAGTTGAGCACAACGCGCTGAGTTTCAACTCGATTGGTTCAGTAGTTCGTGAGATATGACAAAATGTTGGAAAAAACTTATTTTTGCACATTGCAGCAAATAGTGCTATTCGGTCAAGCGCAACCTGCTGAACACAACGCGCTGAGTAGCAGCTCGATTGGTTCAATAGTTCGTGAGATATGACAAAATAATGGAAAAACATATTTTTGCACATTGCAGCAAATAGTGCTATTCGGTCAAACGCAACCAGCTCAGCACAATACGCTGAGTGTCAGCTCGATTGGTTCAATAGTTCGTGAGATATGACAAAATGTTGGAAAAAACTTATTTTTGCTCATTGCAGCAAATAGTGCTATATTCGGTCAAACGCAACCGGCTGAGCACAACGCGCTGAGTTTTAGGTCGATTGGTTCAATAGTTCGTGAGATATAACAAAATATTGGAAAAAACTTATTTTTGCACATTGCAACAAATAGTGCTATTCGGTCAAACGCAACCTGCTGAGCACAAC